AAGGAAATAACTCTTTAATTAAATGTTATATAAACGATAATAAAATATTATTCATGAAAAATGTTTTTTTCCATTTTTCTAGAAATTAAACCAACAATCATTACTGATCTCGAAGGAAGAACAGTTCAAAAAGGTGAACCATGTGAATTAACAATAATAGCTGAAGGTAAACCTCAACCACAATGTAAATGGACATTTAATAATCAAGATTTAACATTAATTCCTGGTGAAATTGAATCTATAATTGATGAAAATGATAAACGTATATATCATTTACGAATTCATTCAACTCAACCAAAACATATTGGTGAATATTCATGTACATTATCAAATGGTGGTGGAAGTGTTAAATCTAAAAAAGTGAAAGTAACATGTGAAAAATCTCCACAATTTCCATCTGAATTTGGTAAAACAGTTAAAGCTATTCAAGGTGATGATACAAGAATTGAAAGTTCAATTGATGCTTATCCATTACCACAATTTACATGGTAAATAAAACGGAAAAAATATTTTTTTTTTTCGAATCATTTTTATTTTGTGATTTTAGGAGTCGGGCGTCGAATGATAAAACATTATCAGATAAAGATGAAAATTATTCAATTGCATTTGATACTGATCAAAATGCATCAATATTATTAATAAAACAAGTTAAGAAAGCTGAACATGAAGATGAATATATATGTCGTGCAACAAACGAATTTGGTTCAGCTACAATGCGTACTAAATTACTTGTTCTTATTCGACCTTATTTTATTGAACAATTAAAAGATGCACAATGTCATGAATTTGTTGAACAATATGCTATTGAATATCAAGCTGAAGGTTTTCCTGAACCAACAATACAATGGACAAGAAATAATGAAATAATATCATCAACATCAAATGAATTTCGTATTGAAAAAAATCGTTTAGTTATATTAGAAACTAAATTAGAACATACAGGAACATATGCTGTTAAATTAACAAATGAAGTTGGTGAAATTGAATCATCTATGCAGTTAACAGTAACAGAAAGACCTATTGAAGTTGGTAAACATCTTGTTGATACAATTGGTATTGAAAAAGATCAAATTACATTTGAATGTGTATTTACAAAACCAATTGAAAATGTTAAATGGCTTAAAAATGGTATTGAATTACCAGATGATGCACGTTTTATACGTAAAGGTGAACCAAATCAACGTTATTTTCAATTAGAAATTCATTCATTAACACTTGATGATACAGGAGAATATTCTTGTATATATACTGAAACAATTAATTCAAAAGCAATGTTAACAGTTAATGAATTACCAATTGATTTTGAAAAACCATTATCAAATCAATCATTAACCGAATATGATACATTAACACTTGAATGTATTGTAACAAAACCAAATAAGCAAGTTAAATGGTTTTTTGATAATCAAGAATTAAAACCAGATGATCGATGTCGATTTGAAACAGAAGATAAAATTCATCGATTAATTATTAGTAATGTATCACCAAATGATGAAGGAAATTATGATGTTATTACAGAAAGTGATAGAAAGAGTTCAGCATTTATTAGTGTTAAAGGTAAGTTTAACAAAATTCTAATCAAATACGAGACGATTTTAAAACTATTGACTCTTTCATTTCACATTTAATTAAATCTAATTATTTAAGTAATTAAAATGTAATCAGCAAACAACTCTCTAACTCTATGACGAAAATGTCCAAGAATTTTAAGATAGATTCCATGCTATAAATTGTTTTGTTATCAGCCCGAGATGTCCAAGAAGATTTTGCATTCCTATATTCATACCCAGTCACGTCACTACCAATGAATAAACTCAATTTTTTGAAAAAACCTAAGCATGTTCAGAAAAAAATCTTGTAGCTTGAAGGCTCCTCTGCAAAATGTCTCATGTAGTTTTCAAAAACACTTTTTGAACGCGTAGTGATTTTAAAATGGAGATCACATTCATTTTGTTGTTTTACGTCGCCAACACTAAGTTTTCAATAATAACTGAGTGGGACAAAGATCTATGGGGTTGAGGTTTTCAGATTATTTAGAATGATTCAACATACATTTCATAGATAAAAATGAGCTAAAACACATCGATGGATAGTTATAGACATTGCACTAAATTTCACAACAATATACATTGATCCCCTTGAGATTCTGTTCAAAATCGACTTTCGAATTCAAACTTTATATAAGTTAGATTCTCTTATGCGAAAAAGTAAACGGTAGGCTTATGTTTACATCTCAGTATAGGAGAAACTAGAAAGTCTGATCCTTTTGAATGACTTTATTTTTTTTTTTGAAAAACTTATTAAAATGGTAGGAAAACAATAACCAATGGATATAAATCTTTTTGCAAATCATCATATATTACTTAGTAAAGATTTTGTCAATTTAAAACTTTTTATAGAATCTCTAACAGTATCTTGTTAATAACATGCTTTTAGATTTTTTTATCATAAAACGAAATTATGAGTTTTTTTTTTGTTATCTTTAGAAATTCCTGTTGAATTTATTCGTCCATTAACTGATGTTGATATACAAGAACGTGCATCAGAATTAATTCTTGAATGTGAATTAAATAAATCTGTTCATGTTGAATGGTATCGTTTTTCAACACAATTAACATCTTTTACTGATGAACAACGTATATTCCTTGAACATAATGATCTTGTACATCGTTTAATTATAAAAAATATTCAAATGGATGATCAAGGTACATATACATGTCTTTATCCATCACAACATGTTGATTCATCATGTAAAGTACATGTTAATGAATTACCATTAGCTATTGTACAAAATTTGAATGATGAATATTTAATAACTGAAAATGATGATTTAATATTAAATATTGAATTAAATAAAATAAGTTTCTTAAAGTATGAATGGCTTAAAGATGGTACTCCTATTGAAAATAATGAACGTAATAAAATGATTGTTCAAGGTGAAAAATATCAATTAAAATTATTTGATGTTAAACTTAATGATCAAGGAAAATATACATTTCGTATAAATGAAGCTAATCTTGAAACAAATACAAATATTAAAATAAATGAATTACCTATTTATTTTACACGTCCTTTAAAAGATCTATCAACAATTATGGAAAATACATCTGATTATCGTTTTGATTGTGAAATAAATAAAGAAAATAAAATTGCACAATGGTTTAAAGATGATGAACAACAAGCATTAGTTTCAAATGATGAAATCAAAATAGAATCTCGTGGACGTATACATGCATTAGTTTTTAATTCAGTAAAATTAACATATGCAGGAAAATATACATGTCAATTTACCGAAGATATTAAATCAATTGGTACACTTCAAGTTGAAGGTAATTTATAAGAAAAAAAAGAAGAATTTTATACATGAAAAATTTTTCTATTTGAATTTTTAATAGATGCTCCGACTGGATTTGAAGTTGGTTTAGAAAATACAACAGTTATTGAAGATGAACCACTTACATTAGAATGTATTCTTACAAAAGATCGACCTGATGATGAAGTCATTTGGTCATTTAATGGTGATCGATTAATTATCGATAATGAACGTATTAAAACATCAAAAGTTGGTCCAATTATTAAATTAATTATAGATGAATGTCAATTAGCTGATGAAGGACGTTATCAAGCAGAAATTAATAATAAAACAAGCAAAGCTATTGTTACTGTTAAAGGTACAAATATCAAATAAAAAAATTTTTTCAACTAGAATTCTTAATGATAGATCAACAAGAGATTCCTATTACTAAATTTACGAATAATTTAATCGAATTTTTCAAAATCTTAATTGTTTCTTGTCGGATGTAGAAGTTGACAAGTTTAGTTCTGGTTCGAATCTGAGGAACTGTTGAAAACGTTCTCTTATCTAAACTAATCTATTCGAATAGTTCACTTCTGATTACAAAAACAGTTCTTTTGATAGAGAAACTGATCTATCTCAATAGTTTAGCTCATGGATCTAATCTGCCCGAAATATTTTTCGAAATAGCACTTCCGGGTATATAAAAACCTTTATTCTATTATTGAAATACCCTTTTAAAAACAAAAACGTAATTTTTCGGACAGCTCAGTTCCAAGAACCGAACCGTTTGAACAGATATTGTGATAGGATTTGATATGCTCGAGTTAGAGATGTACGGAACCAGTAGAGTCCATCGAATCCGACCAGAATCCGATGGGTTCTTCTCACAAAAGATTAATCAATCAGGTTCGAATCCAAAATTTTGATCGACCGGATCCAAGTCCAATAAATTTTAATCAGTCGAGTCCAAGTCCAAAAATTCTTGGACTCGATGGGCTCTATGGACCAGTCTTGATTCTGGCCACTGGGATCGGGACCGAAACTAAAAAAAAACTTGGTCCTGTACATCTTTAGTTCGAGTAGTTCTTTCGTTTATTTGATCTGAACTTTGAACTGAGAGCTGTTCGATTCCTAGTTCTATAGCTCCTATAGATATTATTCTATAAAAAGTTTAGTTCTTTTGAATTATAAGACATGTAAAATCTAATTCTATATCAAACGAAAGTTTATCTATCGTTGATTTCAAAATAATAAACCAATGTTTGCTATGAAAATTAGTTTGTTGTTGTTCGAATACATACACCAAATCACATCCGAAAAAAGAAAGATTAACATCATCGGATTGATTTATATTCGTCACAGATGAATGGAAGATTTTTGAAGTGATGAAAGAATCTTTCAAAACGTAATTTGTTCTTGGTTAGAGTGATTGTATTTATTTCTTATTGCAACTAAGGATAGTTCTAAATGATAAATACTTAACAGATTTGATTCAAAACTTTGTTGTGTATATTGGGAATGATTAAGTTGATGCTCCAGAAAATACAAATTAATAATTTTTATTTTTTGTTTCTAGAGAAAAAACTTCAATTTACCCGTCCATTAAAAGATATCGAAGTCGATGAATGGTCACAATGTATTCTTGAATGTGAACTTAATAAACGTAATATTGAATGTCGTTGGTATAAAGATACATTGGAACTATATCCAAATGATCATTATCAATTTGAAGTTGATAATAAAATTCAACGTTTAATTATAAATCGTCTTGAATTAGATGATACAGCTATATATGGTTGTGTTTGTCGACAAGAAAAAACGTCCGGACAATTAACTGTTAAAGAATTACCTTATGAATTTATTCGTCCATTAGATGAAACTGTAACTATTGTAGAAAAACAACAATTAGTACTTGAATGTGAAACAAATAAACCATTAAGAGATAATTTAGCTATATGGACGCGTAATGGACAAGTTTTAACACATAGTCCTCTGGATGGTGTACTTATTAAAACACTTGATAAAGTTCATACATTAACAATATATGAATGTAAAATGAAAGATGATGGACAATATGCATGTACAATAAAACAAGCAAGTACAACATGTCAAGTGAAGATGAAAGGTAAATTTAATTTGAATTCGGTTTTTTTGTTTGTAAATTTTTAAGTTTTTATTCTCTCTTTTTTTGTTTAGAAGCACCAGTTGAATTTATTCGTTCACTTGAAGATTTAACAGTAACAGAAGGTCAACCATTAAAATTAAGTTGTACATTAAGTAAAGACAATTGTCAAGTTATATGGTTGAAAGATGATGAAGAAATCAAAACAGGTGGAGAAGAAGAAGAGAGTCGATTTATAGCAACAAATGATGGACGATTTTATCGATTAGAAATAAAAGAATCAAAAATGTCTGATGCTGGAAATTATACTATTAAAGTTGAAGATAAACAACAATCATGTCAAGTTGTTGTTACTGGTAAATTACATATTCTTTTTTATTTTTAATTTTTAATTCTCTTTTGTTGTTTGTTTTTTTCTCATTTAACAGAAGCTCCAATTGATATAATTATTCCATTAAGTGATAAAAATTGTATTGAAGGTACGCCGGAATTTTCTGAATTCTATGTTGAATTAAATAAACCAAATATCAATCTGGTTTGGAAATGTGATGATGAACCAATTGATTTTAATAATTCAAAATATTCGACACTTAATGAAAAAACAAAATATACATTAATTATTCGTAATATTGAATTATCTGATGAAAAAACATATTCATGCCAAGTTAGTAGTGGTACATCATCACGTGTTAGATCTTCAGCACAATTAACTGTTGATGAATTACCACCAGAATTTGTTTTAACTACACCATTACAAGATCGTGAATGTTTTGAAGATGAAAATGTTGAATTTGAATGTGAATTAAATAAATCAAAATGGAAAAAAACCGGACAAACAATTATTTGTAAATGGTTTCGTAATGTTGATCGAGAATTACGATCAACAGTTAAATATTCTATTGAACGTTCAGGACCAATACAAAAATTAATTATTCATAATGCACAATTTGAAGATGAAGCAGAATATCGTTGTGTTATTATGGATAAATTTGTTAGTGCAAAACTTACTGTGAAAGGTAAATTTATTTTTTTGCTTTATATATTATCACTTAGAAAAAAAAAAGAAGTTTTTATTCGACTATAGTAGGACTTGACTCGGAGAGTATTGATCACATCTTTAGGTGGGGAGGGGAGCTCAAGTAGAACTCAACCATTCGTAGGGAAGAGGATCTGAGATCCATCTGGTTACGCCAATAGAATCAAATCATCCAATATTTCTCTCATTGTTGTGAAATGTATTTCTATCAGAGATGTTCATGGGAATGCGATGGCATCAACGGCACTTTTTTTAAAAATCGCCGCGACGCGGAGGCTATTTCAAAAATATCATCGGCGACAGCGGCACTGAGCCTTGCCTCTTCTAGGACTGCAGTAGATTTCTAGCGGCGATGGACATCTGTGATCTCTATGAAAAATAGAAGAGCGATGTGATTGACAAAATCTTTTGATCAACATATTTAATAAGAAATGTATTTTTGTTTTCAGTTTCAAAAAACTTTCCTAAAAGCTTTCATAATAGACGTATCGTTTTCGTATTAGGATTAATTAATGCTAGCATCTTTGCATTAATTAATTCTGATGTCAAATAATTCTCAAAACATTAGTGTTAATTTGAATACAAATACTTAAGCATGAGAATTAGTATTAATTAATGCAAATGTTGATTCTAATACAACAATCATAGTTCATAATTTTTGGATAAGATTTTTCACTGATAATAAATAAAGTAAATGGAATAAATATTTTTCTTTCAGAAGAAAAAAATCATGCACTCTCAAAATTGATGAATTATAGTCTTACGATGAAATTTATCTTAAGTTTAGTCATCGTAACGAGTTTTAAATCAGTTTTGACTCATCATGTAGATTATTCTATAGTAGAGCATGTTAGATTCTACTTCGAGAGCCAAAGTCAATTCTTATAAGATCATCATTAAGGTTGCTTGAGAAGTATTTAGTATGTGTTAATCACTGAATATAAATAATCGAGAAAAACAAGCATCTCGTAGTTTTGGAGCGACTAACCAGTTCCAATTAGAAATTTTTTTTAAGAGTACAGTTCAGATCTGTATCTGACAAACTCTCTACTGATATAACCTCAATTTCACAGAATTCGACCATTAAAAACTTTATTTCTTTGTTTAGAAATTCCTGTAACATTTACTCAATTACTCGAAGATATTAAAACAATTGAACGTGAAACAGTTATATTTCAATGTGAAGTATCTAAAACACAATCAACACGTACAGAAACTGAAATACCAATACAATGGTATCGTGATGGTGTTAAAATAGTTGGTGGTGGTCGATTTGAAATTTCTAAATCATCCGGCAATAAACGACAAACATTAAAAATCATTAATGCTAGTTTAACTGATACAGGTGAATATGCATGTACAGCTGGTACAGATCAAATTCGTACAGTTGCTAATTTAATTGTTGGTGATCTTGATGTTGAATTTCTTCAAACATTACAAGATCGTACTATTCTTGAAGATCAAACATTAATACTTGAATGTATTGTTAATCGTACAGATAAACCAATATCATGGTATTTTAATGATCAACAAATTCATTCAGGTACAAAATATGATATTAGTCGTGAAAAAAATAAACTACGTTTAATTGTTAAAAATGTTACTGCTGATAATGAAGGACAATATAGATGTTGTGTAGCAAATGTTAAAACACAATGTCAAATTATTGTTGATGAAGAAAAAGTTCGTTTTACAGAACGTTTAACTGATGTTGGAGTTAAAGAAGGTGATGCAGCAAAATTTCAATGTTCAGTTTCAAAATTAAATTATATTAAAGCTAAACGTGATATTGATTTTAAATGGTTACATAATGGAAAATTAATTGATGAAATTCATGATAAAGAAAAATATGCAATTGAATTTGATAAAACAAATAAAATATTAAAATTAACAATAAATGATGTACGTAATGAAGATATTGGTATAATAACATGTCAAGCTGATGATGTTACAACAATAGGAAAATTAATTGTTGAAGAAATACCAATTTATTTTGTACGTAAACCAGAAGATCAAATATTAACTGAATTGCCAAATATTTGTTCATTTGAATGTGAATTAAATCGACCTGGTGTACAAGTTAAATGGTTACATAATAAAAAGGAATTAGATTATATGAAAGATAAAATTGAATTTCATAATACAGATACAATTTATCGTTTAAAATTATTACAAATTGATATTGATGATCAAGGTGAATATGTATGTGTAGCACGTGATAAAAAAGCACAAGCATTTTTAAAATTACAAGTACCACCTAAAATTCATTCATTTCAAACAAATTCAAAATTAATTAAACATGATCAACCATTGGTTATTGATATTTTATATCATGGATGGCCAGAACCAACTATTGAATGGAATAAAATAAATAATAAAATCAAAAATAAATTACTTAAACCTGGACATATACAAATGTCAATTGATAATACAAATCGAAATGATTCTGGTTTATATGAAATAACACTTAAAAATGATTATGGACAAGATCAAAGAAATGGTACTATTGAAATACTTGATAGACCAAGTAAACCAAAAAATTTAATTGTTAAATTATTGGATGTTGGTGAATGTGAATTAACATGGGAAGAACCAGATGATGATGGTGGTTCACCATTAACTGGTTATTGTATTGAAAAATGTGAAGAACGACGTGCTGCATCATGGGATGAAGTTTGTGTTATGAGTATTGAAGAAAGAAAAACAATTGTTAATAAATTACTTGATGGTGCTAAATATCGTTTTCGTGTTAGTGCAGAAAATAAATATGGTCGATCAGAACCATGTGAATATACTGAACCAATACTTGTTAAGAGTCCATTTGGTAAGATATTATTTTTGAAAAATTTAAGCCTTGGTTTTTTTTTGAGATTTATCAAAGATGTAAACCGATGTGCCGATCATCGATGGCGGAACGAAATTTCCCGATGATTCTTTTGAAAATTTTCTTTATATCGAGAGATTTTGAAATGGATTTGATATTAGTAGAATACGCTCTAATTCACTTCAACCATTGTTCGACTCGAAGAGATTTTTCAAATTGAAAAAATAATTAAATTTTCCATTCATAAAATTTTTGAAGCTACTCTAATTCAGACTTGAAGTGAACCAAGAGGAAAACGACGTACTCTGGTACTCCCAGAGTACACGGAGTCCACTGGAGTACATAGAGTCTAGTGGAGTACAGAGTCCAACGAGAATAAACCAAGGAGAAACGATGTAATCCAGTACTTCCCCACTGTCAGGACTTCTTGTACTCCGTAGACTCTGCGGACTCTGGAGGTACAGTGGGAGTCCAGCAAGTACAACAGTACTTCGTTTTCCTACGTATTCCTTGTACTCTCGGAGTTCACAGAGTTCATGGAGTCTAGTTGGAGTACATGGACTCTGCGGAGTACACGAGTACGTAGTTTTCCCCTTGACTTATCTAATCTTCGAAATTTTCGATGTCTTACACTCAAAAAAAAAAAAAAAAGCACCGTCAAAGTACTCTAGGAAATTTCTTTATTGTTGAATTTTCTATATTGATCAAGAAAGAAATTCTAAAAATTTCTATATCTAGATTGTCCATCTACACCGGAAGCTCCAAATGTTGATGAAATCTTTGCAACAACATGTCGTATACAATGGACACCACCATCTAGTGATGGTGGAACACCATTAACAGGTTATATTGTTGAACGTCGTTTACAAGGAGCTGCACGTTGGTCAAAAGTAACAAAATTAATCATTCCATCAGATACAACACAAATTAAAGCTGAAGAACTTATTGAAGGAAGTGAATATGAATTTAGAGTAATTGCTTGTAATAAAGTTGGTCAATCAGAACCAAGTGCTCCATCAAGGACTATTGTTGCTAAAAATCCATTTGGTATGTCATATGATTTTTCAAAAAAAAAAACAAAACGAAAATAATTATTTAGATAAACCTGGTGCACCTTTTGATTTAACTATAAATGCAATTGGTAATGAATGGATTGAATTAAGTTGGCAACCACCAATTAAAGATGGTGGTTCACCCATAACAGGTTATGTTATCGAACGACGAACTGCTTCAAATTATAAATGGCATGTAAGTTAAATTAACTTTTTCTTTTTTTTTGTTTTCTATTTTCTTATTTTCATAAGGCTCCAACTGAACCGTTTGAAGGCACAACAAAAAAATTACATTCATTACATACAGGACATAAATATGAATTTCGTGTTCGAGCTCAAAATTTAGCTGGTCTTGGTGAACCATCCAATCCTACAAAAGAAACTGAAATACGAGAACCAATTATTGGTGAAAAACCAAAATTTATTCAAGAACTTGAACCTATTACAGTCATTAGTGGACGACCTGTTACATTAACAGCTCGTGTTAAAGGTGATCCAACACCTAAATTTAAATGGTAAGTCTAATAAAAAATATATGAATTATTTTTGAATAATTATAAAATTTTAGGTCGAAAAATGATCGTCCAATTGTACAAGATGATCGTATAAAATTTGATGTTACTGGTGACACAGTTAAATTAATAATTAGCGAAGCGTTACCAACTGATGCGGGTACCTATGAATTAATAGCTGAAAATGCTCTTGGTTCAATTGATTGTACGGCTAAAATGACTGTACATTGTATGTTAAATTTTTTTTATAGAAAAAAATATTTAATCATGATTTTTGTTTTTCTTATCGTTTTAAATTTTAGCACCGCCAACTATAGTTAATTCAACTCCATCACCAATCAATATTCCTGTAGGTCAAGTTTTATATATTTCATGTGAAGTCACTGGATATCCTCGACCAGAAATGATCTGGGAACCAACTAATGATCGAGCACGTACTGAACAATCAGACACATTTGTTACTTTATCTATATCAAAAGTTCGTGTAAATGAAGGCGGAAATTATAAATTAATATTAAAAAATGTTGCTGGTGCAGCTGATGCATCATTTGATGTTCGTGTTCAAAATGTTCCACAACCAGTAAGAAATCTTAAAATTGATAATATAACTGCTGAATCAGCTCATATTAAATGGGAAGCACCATTAGATGATGGTGGTTTACCAATAAATTCCTATGTTGTTGAATATCGTGATATGCGTCGTTCACAATATGTTCGATGTGAACGTCTTTCAAGTGAAAAATTTGATTATGAACTTAATCATTTAACAAAAGGATCAAAATATACAGTAAGAGTATTAGCAGAAAATAAGTTAGGTCAATCAGAGCCAACAGAAATAACTGAACCGTTTATTGCCAAGAATCCATTTGATGTACCAAGTGCACCAAGAGAACTTAAAGTTACTGGTGTAACAAGATCAAGTTGTCAATTACAGTGGTTACCACCAAATAATGATGGTGGAGCGCCAATTCAGGGTTATATTGTTGAAAGACAAACAGAAAAACGTTGGATTCGAGCTATACCAACATTAGTACAAGGAACAACTGTACAGCTAGTTGATCTAATTGAAGGTTAGTTAACAGAAAAAATTTTCATTTTCATACATAAATATGTATGTGTTTTAGGATCAATCTATGATTTTCGAGTAGCTGCTGTTAATGAAGAAGGTCAAGGTGCATATAGTCGTCCAAGTGAATCTGTTACTCTTAAAGATCCATATGATGTTCCAACACAACCAGGACCTCTTGATATAAATGAATTAACGGATACCTCATGTATACTTTCATGGAAACCGCCTATTCGTGATAATGGTAGTGCAATTATTGAATATATACTTGAACAACGTTTTAAAACAGATCCATCATTTATACGCATAGAAACTGTAACACCTATAACTGAATGTTTTCATAAAGTAGAAGATTTATTAACAAATGGTGAATATGAATTTCGTGTTGCTGCACGTAATCAAGCTGGTTTAAGTGCATATTCACAAACAGAACGATCTATTATTATTCGTGCACCACGACAAGGTATTGCACCACGTATTGAAAAATTTTCCAATCAAACAGTAAATGGCGGTAGTCAAGGTCGTATTGAAGCAACGATTATTGGTTCACCTGAACCTGAAATAATTTGGTACAAAGGTGGTCGAAAATTGCCATTAACAACTGGACGATATACATCATCACTTGCACAAGGTATTCTTGTTCTTTATATAAAAGAAGTACAAGAAAATGATGCTGGACAATATACATTAGAAATTCAAAATGAATTTGGTAGTGATAGTAAACAAATACAAGTAACTGTTTTAGCAACACCTAAAATTGACTTTGATTCAAAATATCGTAAACAAATTATTGTTGGTGTTAATTCATCCATACGTATACCGTTTACATTTACTGGTTCGCCTAAACCTGAATTAACAGTAAATCGTGCTGATGAATCAAAAGAAAATCATGCAACACTTGATCTATTTGAAAATAGTGGAACATTTCTTTTACGTCAAACAACACGTCAAGATACTGGTTTATATCGTTTACAAGCAACAAATGAATGTGGTACAGCAACATCACGTTTTGATATTCTTGTACAAACAGTTCCATCACCACCTGGTGGACCATTACAAGTAACTTCTAGTGGTAAAGATTATGTTAGTCTTGCTTGGCATACATGTCCTGATGATGGTGGAAGTGAATTAACATCATTTATTATTGAAAAACGTGAAGAAAATAAATCAATTTGGACAAAAGTTGCAACAATTCGTCCAACAAATACAACATATACATGTACTGGTTTACTTGATCAGACAAATTATTTGTTTAGAATATTAGCTGAAAATGAAATAGGTGTTAGTGAACCATTAGAATTAGAACATACTGTTATGGCTAAATTACCATATGAACGTCCTGGTCCACCAATAGGTCCAATTAAAATTGATTCAATTATTCAAACAGGTTGTACATTATCATGGTTACCAGCAACAGATGATGGTGGTGCAAAAATTACAGGTTATATTATTGAAGGTAAAGATATTAATCGACATTCATGGACACAATTAGAAAGTGCACCTGCTAGTGAAACTACAGTCGATATAAGACAATTAAAAGAAGATGCAACATATATATTTCGTATAATGTCAAAAAATATTGTTGGTCTGTCGCAATCACTTGAAAGTGAATCTGTAACATTAAAACGCCCAAAAACAGTTCCACATGCACCTGTACCATTTTTTGTTAATGATATTGATATTGATAATTGTACATTAGAATGGGAAATACCGAAATTTACTGGTGGAGACAATTTACAAATAAAAAATTTTATTATTGAACAACGTATTGGTGATAAAGAAACAACACCATGGAAAACTGTTGCTGAACCAGAAGCATTTCTAACAAGTACTGTTATTCGACATTTAAAAGAAGAAAAAGAATACTATTTTCGTATCAAAGCTGTTAATGAAGTAGGACAATCAAAGCCAACAGAATTAACTCGGCCAGTTATTCCACGTCAAAAGAGCAGTATGTTTGGGTTTTTTTTTGTTGAACTAACATATATTTTTTGAAGGAAAATAGAGAGTATAAATTTTTAAGTCGAAATTTTCTGGCCCTAATTTCGCAGACCTTATCAATTGAAATCAAAAATCATTGTGTACCAATCTGCACTTAACAACAGCTAAAGACAATAGACACTAGACCCTTTCTCCATAGTTCATTAGCAACGGGAAAAGGTGTTGAATTGACATTAACAACAAAGCTTAAAATAAGAAATAACCGAAAAAACAATTCTATTCGAAATGTCGAAATAAAAAAGAACAATTTTTTTTTTCTAATGACTGAATGTCCTTTGAAGGCATTTATTGTCTAATGGATATTTTTTCACTTAATGTATTTTATATTATTATTGAAATTAATTTTATTTTTATTTTCTAGTTGTTCCATCGGCACCTATTGGTCCTATAAGTACATTAATGGTAACACGAGATTCTATTACAATTAGTTGGGGACCATGTAAAGATGATGGTGGAAGTGAACTTATTGGTTATGTTATTGAAAGACGCGATGCTTCAAGAAATGTTTGGCAACGTATTGGATATAATGATCCAAGTACATTTACATATGCAGCAACAGGATTAACTGAAGATGTTGCATATCATTTTCGTATATTTGCGGAGAATTCAGTTGGAATGTCACCAGCATTAACAACTGTTGATCCAATTATTGCTAAAAGTCCATATACACGTCCAGATAAACCCGAAGGACCATTATTAACAAAAATTGTTTCACCAACTTCAATTGAATGTTCATGGCAACCACCATTAAATGATGGTGGTACAACATTAACAGGTTATCTTATTCAAAGACGTGAGATATCAAGACCAATTTGGGTTAAAGTAAATTATTCAGAAAAATTTTTTTTTGTTCTTTTTGATTAATTTTTCTTCATATATATTTATATAGGCTGGATATGTTAGTGGTGATATAAATCGATGTGTAATAAAAGATTTACCAGATGAAGGTTCTTATTTAATACAAGTATATTCGGAAAATTCCGAAGGTCAATCATTAGAACCATTAATATTAGAACAACCAGTTAAATTAACACGTAAAATTGGTGTACCCGAACCACCATCGAAACTTGATGTTATCGCTAAAACAGAGTCATCAATAACATTACAATGGGAAATGCCACGTAATGACGGTGGTAGTCCATTAATAGAATATTTATTAGAAATGCGTGATAAAAAACATAAAACTAATGATTGGACACAAGTACAAATATTGCCAGCAATTACAACAAGTTTTCGAGTATCAAAATTAGATGAAAATGTCTATTATAATTTTCGTATTAAAGCAGCTAATTCTATTGGATATGGTGAACCAAAATCACTTGAAAAAGCTGTTAAACCACAAAAACAAAATGGTACGTTAATTAATTTATATTTAATCAATGATCAATTCTATAGATATTATTTTTCTTTTTCCTTTATAAAATTCTAGAGCCACCATCTATGCCTAATAAACCATTACAAACATCAAATATAGATTCAACATCAATATCTGTATCATGGAAACCATCATTATCAAGTGGTTCAAGTGATATTATATCTTATATTGTTGAACGTCGTGATGCTCTTAAAGCAAATTGGATTCCAGTTAAAAAAGCTTCATCAAATCAATATAATCTTATTGTAACAGAATTAACTGAAGGTTCAAGTTATTATTTTCGTGTTTGTGCATTAAATGAAAATGATCTTCATAGTGAATGGCTTGAATTAGATATGCCTATGTTATGTCGAAATCCATATGATGTTCCATCACCACCAAAAAATCTCATTGTGAAAGATATTATTGGACAAACAGTAACTATACAATGGGATCCACCAGAAAATGATGGTGGTAAACCAATACGTGGTTATATTATTGAAAGACGTGATGTACAAAGAACAACATGGTTAAAAGAAGGACGTTGTAAAACAACAACATATGAAATTGAAAATTTGCCATTAGGTGGTCAACATTTAATACGTATAACAGCTGAAAATGAAGAAGGACTTTCAGCACCATGTGAAATTGATAAACCATTACAAATTGATGCTAAAGACAGTAAGATTTATTTTCTTTTTTTTTCTGCATCAAAGATTTTAACAAAAAAAAACAAAAATTATTTTGTATTTAGTTTCATTACCAAAACCACGTGATGTTGAAATTGGAAAAGTTAAAGGTCAATCAATAACTTTAACATGGTTACCAGCTACAGGATCATTACAAGATAAAACTGATTCAATATCAGCTTATATGATTGAAGTATGGGATTCTGAAAATCATTCATGGCATGAATTAGAAAAAGTTGATGCATCAGAAACAACATATACACGTACAGATTTGAAAACAGATTTATCTTATCAATTTCGTCTACGTACATTAACACGTAATGGTCGACGTTCATCACCAACACGTGAAACACAAGTTCTATCACTTAAACGTGCAATTGAACCACCAGATATGCCAGAAGCATTAACAGTAAGAGACATAACAGATGATTCATTAACACTTTATTGGCGTGAAGGTTCATCAAAAACTAAACGTTATATTATTGAAAAACGTGAAGCATCAAAAAAGATTTGGGTACCAGCTGGTGAAACAAAAGAAACAACTATTCATGTTGAACATCTTATGCGTAATGTTCAATATGAATTACGTGTTTTTGCTGAAAATGCTTCAGGTGATCGTTCAACAGAAGCAGCATTATTATTAATTCATTTTAAAGGACGACAAGTACCACCTGGTTTATGTGAACAATTAAAAGTTAAACAATACAGTGCAACAGCATGTTTACTTACATGGTTACCACCGCTTGATACGGGTAATTCACCAATTCGAAATTATATTGTGGAAAAACAACAAGTTGGCCGTTTAACATGGCAAAATGTTAATGAATCATTACAAACATGTACATGTATTGTCAATGATTTAACACCTAGTGTACAATATAAAATACGTGTTGCTGCTATTAATGAATTTGGTCAAGGAGAATTTGTTGAAACTGAACCAATAGAAATTAAAGAAGAGAATAGTAAATTAAAATTTAAATAATATTTTAGTTAATCATATTTCTTTTCTTTGTTTTTCTTCTTAGTTCCACCATCAAAACCTGTTAATTTAACTGTAATAGATACAACTTATACATCTATTGATGTTAGTTGGTTATGTCCACGTGAATTTGGTTCTAAACCAATAAAACATTATATACTTTATCGACGTTCATCAAAATCAGGTTCTGATTGGAAATTAATTCATCGTGTAAATCGAACACAATTATCATATACATTTGATAATCTTGATTCATCATTATCATATCATTTACGTGTTACAGCTGAATCTGATTCTGGTGAATCTGAACCATGTGAATTACCAACAGCTATATCACCTAAAAAGAAACCTAAACCACCACCAATACTTGATCATGTTTTTGTTCGTACAATTGATGATGGTATGATTAGTCTACAATGGAGTGGTTTAGATACAGATATTGATAATCAATTAGAACATAATGTTAATTTACTTGGTTATATTATTGAAATGAATGATGGTACAGATTGGGTTGAAGTTGAACGAACAGATAGTGATACACGTACATGCACAGTAACACATTTACGACAAGATATTGATTATAATCTTCGTGTATCAGCTTACAATCGTATAGGACAAGGTCGTTCAAAAGAAATTGATACACCTGTTAAAGCTAAATCACCATTTTCTAAACCAGGTCAACCATTAGGTCCATTAAGTATAGCGAATATAACACGATCAACTGTTGATTTAAATTGGTCACCATCACCAACTATAAATGATATACCAATAACAAATTATTTTGTTGAAAAATTTCGTGATGGTATTTGGATAAAAGTTGCACGTTTACCACCCACATCAACATCATTAAAAGTATTTAATTTAATTGAAAATAAAGAAACATTATTTCGTGTATCAGCTGAAAATCGTTTTGGTATTAGTGAACCATTACAATCCATGCATATTAAACCAAATCGATCATTTGAAACAAAACCACCAACTGATCTTGATTCAACAGCAGCTAGTTATTTTGAAAAAACTTTAAGTCATAATGATTTTAATTTTCTTTTATATCATGATAGTCCACCATCGACAACATTTGATACATTAAAATTTGGTGATGATGTTGAAGAATATATTAAAAGTGTTTGGTAAAAAAACAGAAAAAAAAATTCAACCGATTATGATTATTGACTTTTTTTTGTTCATAAGGAAGAAGTTGAACTAAATAATTTCTTCTTTATTTTTTCTTTATTGTGGCTCGCTCGATTAACATGCAGAAAAAAAGAGCAATTCCACATAATCGGTCTGATGTTTAATAGGCATAAATATGTGTGCGTTTGTGTGTTTGAACCCGTTTTGTCTGTTTTTTTTTCACCTGACATTTTCCCAGATGGAAATTATGAAATGAAATATGATAAAAGGATTATCATACGATTTGTGTTGCTCCTCCAATCGTTATGATTATTTCTTTTATTTTTTGTTTGTATCGTTCGAATGTGGCGGTGAAAGTGTTTGTTTTTCTTTTTTCTTATTTATCAATAAATAAATGCATAATTATAATTACAAACAAAAAAACAAAACTTAATATACGAGGATGATCAGTTTGACTGGGTACCCCAACTAATTTTTTCACATATAGGTTCTATAGTACATCAGAATGTTATGATTCTTTTTTACCAATTATAGTACTCATGTAGTGCTAGCGATTCATCATTATTTCGATTATTTACTATATTTAAAACCAATAGAATCAAGTATCTTTCTAATCTCTTTTAGTAAAATGAACTTTTATCAAGCTGATCAATGTCAATAATAACTAGAAACAAGTATGCTACAGTTGCACATGGACATTTTCAAAATATGCAAATCACTGTCAAAGAAGCTGATAGCGAGAAAAATATCTTTTCTTCGTCGGATATTTTCTGATTCTCACATCTATGTATATACCGGTCACGTTAAACATATGATTCATTTGCATATAAAGGGTATGTACTAAGTTCTGATCCCTTTTCTAATAAATTATTGGAAAAGGGGATCAGAATTTAATAGACATCCTTTATAACTCTATTTCAATTGCGTAATTCCTATTCTATTTTCTTTCTCTTTTCCCTTTGTTCGTTCTATTACTTTGAAATATTTACACCAAAGCGATACAATCAGCTAAATATCTTTTAATGGCTTCTTCGTTACATATTGAATGGAATTGTCCTCAATGTCAATTTTTAATAAGTGATCGTCGTAAATATTGCAACAATTATCAATCAATGTTAGTTTAGACGTGTATTGATTCTGAGAAATCTGGTTTATATGCTCATTACAGTCGACATCGTAATAGATGTGATTGTTGTTCAACAGAACTTGTAGGAGAAAGACAACAGCTAAAGAAAGAAAAACAGATTTCAAGTTTTCAAGAACTTCAAGTGCTATATGTTGGTAAGCAAAACGCATCTGTTTAGTCTGCATATGAACTTCTATTTCATTATGCAGTTAATCTCGAGTACACAATAACAAAATTTCATCATATTTTTATTACTTTTATTTTGCAGATCAACGTCCATGGTCAGAGTAGAGCGGTAGTAATGAGTCTTGTAAACATCATTACGGGGCATGACATCGAACAAGTACAATAGTTATACAATATATGTGAACAATCGCTAGTAGGATATTGTACAAATAGAAAAAAAAGAGCATACACAAAGTACAAACATATCATTTTTATCTCCCATGAATCTGCTTTCAATCACATTATGGTATTTGAAGCATTGTCATTCTAAACGCTATATAGCAGCAGAGCTCCATTTTAATCAATCAACAGTTAACTGTTTTCTGTCAGCAGTAATGCATATTCTATACTCATGCATATGCTCGAAATTAATTTTGTTATCTGATGATATGGATGATATTAATACAGTACATGGATCTGAACAACAACACCACAAGTTGATAGTCGACTCGACATTTATTGCAAGTTATCAAGTTGAAGATCCCACACAATGTAAAGCATTTTATCATGCAAAAGCTCCAACTAATTATGCACTTAAAATATAAATAACTTGTGATTTTCATCATCGAATAGTGCTTGTATCCAACACCTATCAGGGTAATATACACGATATTATCATTTTAAGAGAATCAGGCTTATTAGAATATGTACAAGAAGATGTACAAATTATTGCTTATAAAAGATACATTGGTGAACGATATGTCATTACTCTGCGAAAAAACCTCGTGATGGTGAATTAACAATTGAAGACAAATACTTTAATTAGACTATTTGTAGCGCAAAAGCAGCTATTGAAAAATATTAATCAATGTATTAAACAGCATGGTATTTTAGAACATACTTATAGAGGATCTTATGATGACTTTCGTAAGATTACTAAAATTGCATATATTGTTTGTGCTTTATATAATCTTAACTTGGGTAGGCATCCTATTCGTAGTTATAAATCAGAATACATTATCTATGGTTTCTGCTCTTTTATTTTTAATAAAGGTTTTTCAGTAGTTCTTCTTGTTATTTTCGACAACAAGTAAGATCTATAGGATATAAGTTCGATGAAAGTTCATTTTACTAAAAGAGATTAGAAAGATACTTGATTCTATTGGTTTTAAATATAGTAAATAATCGAAATAATGATGAATCGCTAGCACTACACGAGTACTATAATTGGTAAAAAAGAATCATAACATTCTGATGTACTATAGAACCTGTATGCTAAAAACCTAGCTGAGGCATCCGGCAAGATTGACCATCCCGTTATATACACATATATATTTGAGTTGTCAGGATTGAAGACTGACACAGCTTTCAATGTCGAGAAAAGTTCGGATAAAAACGAGTGAAACTGGATAGACGACTGTGAACAGGAGTATAGAGCGTTGGTTTGACTGAAGAAAAGATTGACACCCATGTGCACGTCAACCGAGATCGACAGTGACACCCACGTCAAAATACATTGACATCCACACATTAATAGTTACCCACCATCAAAATAGTAGAGAAGACAAGAATAGAATCAAATAAATTTAAGATTATTGTTAGTTAATCCTGATTTTATCATGTTCAAATGATGTTTATAGTTTCCTTGATGGTAACAGTAAATTAGACGCCAATGTGATGGACTTGATTGTATTAAATCCTGATGATCATATTGTTAAATCTGGCACTATTGATAAGATCTTAATCAATTTCTGCACAGTTCCCACTCATTCCAATACAAAAATTAAAGTATATATTATTAAATCAAGATCGAATGATCTAGAGTATTTTTCCGTGCAATAACAGATAGTTTCATTCATAACAAATCTCACATTATCTGTTGGAACTCAAAAATTTGAAGTTAAATGATTCAAACTGCAGAAAAATAATTATGTTGGATTCAAGTTCACCGAAAGCGCTGGTGATCCATTCACTATTGAACGTGCCAACTATTATGTTGAACACAATGCTGCAAGCAACCAAACACACAAACACGTTCTATTTCGTATGATTCTCTCTTCAGTCGAGGGAATAAAATGATATTTTTAAAAGCTTATTTATATTAGAAGAAAATTGTATTATTATGAAAAATGTTTCGACGTCGGAACTATCGATTTTGATGATATCGTTTCGGTCGAAACCTCGAATTTTACTAGTACTGTATCATTATTTATCACAACATCGATAAAAAAATTTATATTTAGAAGCTTTGGTGAATGATAGAGTGCCCTGAGATAGTTTTTCGATAAGACATACATCATCTATTTCAGATAGAATAGCGTTTTATAGATATATATTAACTCATTTTTGATTGATATACTATCCATTACGTGCACGTAAAGACATAGTTTGTAGACTAATCTCTTTTTCTCGAGGTAAGTTGTATAGGAAGAGTTACAATCTTGTTCTACAGCCTATTAGTTGGCCTCGTAGTTTGATCAAAGAAATTCAACGCTCGGTTATGACGAAAGCTATCTGGTATTCGGGAAGGCCTATCATAGTCATATGCCTTCTGTTGTCTAAATATGCGTGGCCCTTACGTTCATTGCCCTACTAGTCTGTCATAGTTCTCTCTACACATCCATCCTTCAGGCTTACAGGCGGCTCCGAGGTCGCACGCGCGTGTATTAGGGAGCAGACAAAGCTGGAAGGAGTGAGTAGCAATCAGAACCAGTCTATTGAACAAGGAAAGAGGAAACAAATTTATATCGTCCTTGGAATTTTTTCAAATGTTTCTTTATAGTCTAAAAGATGTTGATGATTTGAAGGCAATTTTTCTTGAGCAATGTTCATCGCTTGTTGGACATTTTTCATTGCCATACTATATTGTTGAGTAGTCAAATATAATTTTGCCAAATTGTGATAGATTACAGCTAAACTAGGATGATTCTTTGGGAGTTTATTTTCACGAATTTGTAATCCTTTTCGCAAATATATTAATGCCGTTGAATAATCTTCCATTTCCCGATAAGTTTCACCCAAATTTGTATACGTTGTTGCGCAATCAAGAGGATTGCATTGAACATTTTCTTGAATATTCAACGCTTTTTGATGAAATGAAAGTGCCATTTCATAATTGCCCATTAATCGATGAACATCACCAATATTACTGTATGTTATAGCCAGAACGGGATGCTTTTCTCCTAAGATTTCTTCAACTATTGTGAGACACTTTTCAAAATACTGAAGCGCCCTTGAGTAATCCTTCATACTACGATAGATCATTCCGAACCAAGAGTATGTACGACTAAAAGCTAAATTACCTTCTTCAAATGTTATTTGCAGAATTCGAAAAGCATTTTGAAGAGCTTCAAGGCCTGCTGCATAATCGCCCATGTCCTGATACACCGAACCAATGTCGATGTAGGAAGTGGCCAAATCCGGATGATTTGAAGGCAGAGCATTTTCTTTTATTTTAAGCGCTTTGTCGTAAAACTCAAGTGCTTTCAAGTAGTCACCCATGTCGTCATATACCGAACCGATATTGCTGTAGGAAGTAGCCAAATCGGGATGAGTCGAAGGCAGAACTTTTTCCGTGATTTCCAGACCTTTTTCGTAAAATTCAAGTGCATTCGAGTAGTCACCCATGGCGTTATACACTCCACCGATGTTGCTGTAGGCAGCTGCCAAGTCGGGATGAGTTGAAGGCAAAATTTTTTCCATGATTTCCAGACCTTTTTCGTAAAATTCAAGTGCTTTCGAGTAGTCACCAATATTGTTATACGCTAGACCAATGTTGCCGTAGGAAATAGCCAAATCCGGATGATTCGAAGATAAAGCTTTTTTTGTGATTTCCAGATCTTTTTCATAAAACTCAAGTGCTTTCGAGTAGTCGCCCATGTAGCGATACACCGAGCCGATATTGCCGTACGAAGTAGCCAAATCGGGATGAGTCGAAGGTAAAGCTTTTTTTGTGATTTCAAGATCCTTTTCGTAAAACTGAAGTGCTTTCGAATAGTCGCCCATGTAGCGATACACTGAACCGATGTTGCTGTAGGAACCAGCCAAATCGCGATGATTTGGTGGCAGAGTTCTTTCTCTTATTTCAAGTGCTTTTTCGTAAAACTCAAGTGCTTTGGAGTAGTCACCCATGTTGTGATACACTTGACCAATGTTGCCATAGGAAGTAGCCAATGAGGGATGGTTTGGAGGCAGAACATCTTCTCTTATTTTAAGTGCTTTGTCGTAATATTCAAGTGCTTTCGAGTAGTCACCCATGTCTTTATATACCGATCCGATGTTGTTGTAGGAAGCAGCCCATGAGGGATGATTCGAAGACAGAGCTTTTTCGTTTATTTGATGTGATTTTTCGTAGAATTCAAGTGCTTTCGGATAGTCAATCGTGCTGTGATACACTTGACCCATGTTGCGGTAGAAAGTAGCTAAATCAGGATGATTCGGAGGCAGAGCTTTTTCGGATATATTAAGTGCTTTTTTGTAAAACTCAAGCGCTTTCGAATAGTCATCCATGTCTTTATACACCGAACCCATGTTGCCGTAGGAAGCAGCCAATGATGGATGGTTTGGAGGTAGAGTTTTTTCTTCGATTTCCAGTGCATTTTCAAACAATTCAACTGCTTTTGAGTACTCACGCATGTGATAATACACTGAACCGATGTTGTTATAGGAAGTTGCCCACGAGGGATGATTTGAAGGCAAAGCTTCCTCTTTCATTTGTTGTGCTTTTTCGTAAAATTCAAGTGCTTTGGAATAGTCACCCATGTTGTGATATACTCCACCGATATTGCTGTAGGAAGTAGCTAATGAAGGATCATCTTCCGGGAGAATTTTTCGATTGATTTCGAGAGATTTTTCATAAAATGAAGCTGCGTCTTTGTATTCTCCTGCTTCGTTTTTCAAACATCCAAGCTGATGATAGATATGTGCTAGATCACTGTCAGTGGAAGCATTCTTGAGTAATTCATTGTAGAGTTCTTCAGCTTGATTAAACTCACCCATTTTGAGCATCAAATGACCCAATCGCTGCCATCCCGTGGATCCACAGAGCTCCTGTCGCATGCGGTGGGTGAGAGCCGTCAGTTGTGGATCAATGTCGCCTGTGAGAGCCAAGTGAACTTCCCAGAGGCGAGGATTGTCAATTGTTTGTTTGATTTCACCGACACGAAAAACAGTGTGCGTTGAGAAGAGAATTTCTTGTTCTTGTGGAATAGCACTGTATTTATCGATAAGGGCAAACGAACTAGTTGAAGCCGATACTTTACTTGGATGGATTGTCATAATAAAGAGGACACCCGGACGTTCTTCACTTTTCCGTAGTGCACGCATAACAAAGTTCACTGCTACACGTAAGTCTTTAGTAGTAGACAGGAAATTGTTGAACGAAAGAAGTCCACCTTTTGTTTTGAGTAGACGCTCAAATTCGTCTTGGCCAATTCCCTGACCACGATAAACGATAAATTGTTTCATATCATCGTCCGATTGTTCTTTGTGCAGCTGTTCTAGTTGTCGATGAAGATTTCGAATGAAAAATCCCAATTTTGTCATGGCCTCCATGTCCAGTGTTCGTAAAGCGCGATTGAGCATGCTGTAGAGAAAACTTTCACAACTGTACCACCAGATTGGCGATCTCTCATGGTACTCACGCTGAAAGTGCTCTATTTCGGATTCTGGAATTTCTTTGCTACGACAGTAGGCGACCAAGTCTTTCACCGACTTTGCATCGTCTTCGTTGATTTCTGATAGAATTTCTTTGAATAGTACCGAATACATAAAGGACGGTTCCAATTCGTCGAGATTTTGTTGATCCGATCCTATTGCTGCTGCCATTGTCTGATTCGAAACGAAGCTCATCGGAATTGTATGATGGTCGCATTCGTAGGCAACTTCTTTTAATGACTCGCAGATGAGATTGACTGAGTTGAAGACATCTTGAACCTTTGCCCATTCTTTTGCCCATTCTTTGTGTCGATTTTTGTTTCTACAGAAAACAAAGATGGTATCAAGTTGATCCATATCGTGTATGAGCGGCACAATATTTTCGCCAAGTGTTCCAGAGATGATTAAAAAGATTTTTTCATCCTCGATACTTGTCAAATAATCTATGCATTGATCAGCATCAGTAAAGTGTTCTAATGTATTGACAATGTTTCGAAAATGTGTGAGAGAATTTTGATAATCTTTGTTGGTATCGTTGATATTAACGTCGAGCCAGACTAGAAGAAAATTTTGCACAATGCTCATGCGTCGTGAACGAGAGGACGACGATGAAGACCTAGTACCATTCATAGTATTTGTAGTGGTGATTTGCTTTGATGTTGCTGATGCCTTCTCGATATTATCTTCGGTAGTGCTGACATTGCTGGCCGTGGACGATATTTTCCTGTCCATGTTGTATGTAGTCTTGAGTTTTAAATACTAGAAGAATGAATCAATGTTATTCAATAGTTGAAATAAATATGAGTTGTAGGTAACGACAACAAGCAAGCCACACCCACACCCTCGATCAGTGATCCTTTGAATATTTTTACGGTAACCCTTTCAATGTACGTTGATCACTTTTTGTTTTTTTTTCGAATTTTCTCGAATTTAGCTGTTTCTAACTAAAGTTGTTGAACTCCTGGGAAAGAAGCATCATTAAACCTAAATAATGTCCTTTGTGTTTGATGAAAAACGGCTAACGTATCAGTCGGAGAGATAAAATGCAATCCAACCCAATGTCCTCCAGTTTAGCCAGAAAAAATGGAGGATTTTAACCACTTTACATGATATTATCGAAAAGCAGCTTTTTCAATCTAAATTTTGATTTGATTGAACTTTAAGCTGCATGATGAAAAAAGAACTACTTAGGGATGACAAAAAATTCTGATTTCAGTATTTAAAATTTTATAAAATAGTTAATATCGAAAGTTTTATCGCTTGAGGATGGAGCGTGAGAGTGTGAATGTGGTGTATGTATGAGTGAACGAAGAGAAGGTTTACAATCACACTCTGCTAGATCTTTGGAAAACAAGTCTCATTTGAAAGGAAGAAAACCGAAGGAATTATAGTGAATATACCAAGACCGCCATTCTTTCTACCCCATCTATTGCATGACGATCGTTAAAGATTGTCGCATCGCATTGATTAGTTTGCTACTAACATAGATCAGATACAAAAATGAAACATCAAAATCTTCTCTTCTGCAATACTATACACATAGAGATGTTAGAATAGCAGATAATCTTTAAAAGCTACTCCTAAAAATCAATTCAAGCCGTCTGATGACACTCATATCATTTCCACGATTGATTTACAATACGGTTAAGACTCATACATAAGGTTAAATGAGCTGAATTTCATCTGCCTCAATGCCTTTTTCATGAGATTTTCTTCACGCATGCGTATCTTCAAGAAATTTTTTCTAGAAAGACAAATATATTAATCGATGTAATTCATCCGATCATTCCACTCTTTGACTGATGTTCATACGAAAGAACGAATAGGCTGTCTTTTGTGAAAAAATTCCACTATATGTTGCGTTTGAAAAATTGAAGCGCTTCTCCTATTCTGAGAATAAAGACTTTTTGCTTTGATGTTCAAACCTTAGGTTTTGATTGAGCTCGTCGAGATTCAACTAGTTTTTTCAGTGCTTCTACATCATTGAAAAAATTCTATTAGAAATGCTTGAATTTGTTGCTATGTTAGCTCTCTAACAGTGAAGTGAGTGTCTTCCGTCGCTATAGTTGTCGATGAAATGTAAACATTGTAACGCTCATTCTGTTTGGCATAGTTTGCGGTAAGACTATTTTAAATGTAAGAATTACTTCAATCTAGACTATCGATTGCACATGCTGAATATCCACAATTCAAGCTTTCTTGAAATTGCTTTCTGGTAGTTAAAATGCCTCATTTTTATGCTCCATCGTTTTATTATTATTTATAGTTACACTAGTGGAAAAATAGTACGAAGATTGTATAAAATCTTACAAGATCTACACCGAGAGTTAAATATCGTAAGATTCATATTGTATGATCTTATGAAAGCATACAAATATCTCATTGTAAGATTTAATGTTTTTTTTTGTCATAAGATACCAGCGTGAATCTTATATGATTCTTGTTATAAGGTTCTTATAAATTCTGATGATCAGAATCTTGCATGATCATATGTGCTCTTATACGCGATCATAATTTTATGTTTCATTGATGCAAATAGCTGTTTATACGATAATTTTATGCATTTGAATAAATGTTTGAGTGGTTAAATATCATCTAGTTTTAACACTACGTCTTTTACAACCAAAAATAAATCTTCTGTATAGAAATTACATCATTAATCGAATTCTCTTCAACAATCAATTACATTCAGCAACATGAGCAAGGGTAACTATAATTCAAACGAATAAATAACTTCTTTTTTATTGAATCAGACTCACAAGATGCTCAAGGATAAGTGTGATATATATATATAAATAAATAATATTTTTTTATAGTTGGTCAAGGGTAAGTATTGATTCAAGTGAATGAATAGTTACTTTGTTTTTTTTCGGGAGAAAGACTGGAAGAGAGGAAAAGGGAGTAGTGGGGTAGTGGACATCGGGTGAGAGGAGAAGCAATAGACCAAGAAGTTCAACTATTAAATGCATCCGAAGATTCTGTAAAAACTTAAATGAATATTACAAGATCTTACAATAAGATTATACAAGAATCGTACTGTACGATTCAATCAGAAATGCTGGCTTTAAAATTGGTCTATAAAATCGTACAAGATATTATACGATTTTGATATGATATTGCACGCTCATGAAAGATCATACAATAAGTTTCTATATGATCGTGTAAAAGACGTACAAGATCTCATAGTCAGGTTGCTTGATCTGAATACTCGTGATTTTCAACTTTAACTTTATCGTTAGTCTAATAATATTGAAAATTAAATATACTTACGTGCTAAGTGATACTGGTGAGTACGAGTTTTATTTTATGTACTTATAACCGATTTTGCTTCGTATATATCTTTCACAAAATCATCTGATTTTTTTCTCCATTCACATGTTTACGTGAATCAATGAAGCATGACATTTTCATCAACTAAGCAGTTTTTTTATGAATGCGCTCGTCACCACGTGTATTTCGTTCTTTCAATGTTCTTTCTTCTTTTTTTGCTTTCTTTTACACTTCGTGTTGTTAAGATGAGAAAATATACACTGGCATTTGCACACACTAGTCATTACACTTAAATTTCGAGATTTCTCTCTCATGAGTAAACAAAACAATAATGTTTTATCTCATATATGAGAAACGCTAGCAGTATGTTGTTTAATATCGGATTTCTTCATGACCATAAATTGTTCTATCGATCACAGAAAAGATTTTCGTACAGAAGAATCGATCAATAAAATTTCATTTTGTAATTCAATGACAGATGCTTATTGCTGAGAACAGTCCCCAACAGAGTTGGAACCAGTAGGTTTTTTCCTTACCAGTAGTGATAAAAATGGTTAGATCAAATCAGACCCACCAGTATACCAGCATGAGTCATTCTTTATCTTTGGGATTCTATACTTGTCAAATCAACCGCTCGATTAGCCATATCTGCACCCTAATTCCCACAGTAATGATGTCGTTTTTTTTGCATGCTTATTACTATATATTTTCGTACGCTTTTTCATCATATTGGTATCTATTGCTGCACAGAAAACTTCATAGTACTACAAATCCTATATCAGCTGTCCACATTCATCAACAGTTCGTAAGACTCGAACATTATTTATTATCTGTGTATTTAATCTAGTTCGCACATTATATTCACTTTGTCATGTCCCATGTCTGTGCAAAATTTATTCTAGAAACAAGATGGAAAATATAAGTAAATCTATGATAAATATAATCTTAAATGGCTATTCTATTTTATTTTGATAATATAACTTGATATAAAAGTGTGTTGATAAAATGTGATAAGTACACTACGATAAATTTCGACTAAATACGATGCCTAGTGCATTTTTCCTGACAGAAATAGTCTTCGACCTCAGTTTAAATTGTGTGATGTTCACAGAAAGAAAGTCAAGGGAAAAAGACAATGTATCGGCAAAATTTGCAAATAAACAAAAACACAGGTGTTATTTCTAGACAAACACAAAGATCATTTTTTTTTCTCACTCTGAAACTCTTTAGTTTCATCGTCCAATCAATGGAGAAGAATATTCACTTATCTGTATGAACTAGTTTCTGAAACAGTACGAGAACATGTCAAATCTTGTGGAAAAAAATAGAAAGGAAAACAAAACAAGAACGTTTGTGCCGCATTAGAGGCTATGTTTCTTCCTTGAGAAATGTACAAAAATCTGTTCATCGATCGCTAAGTTTTCTTCTTTGGTCAATCTGATTGATCATCTTTATTTCCAATCATGACAACGAAAAATTTTTGATAATAAGTAAGCGCAAAAATTATAACTAAATCGATTAGTTATAGAAAACACACAGAAGTAGAGAGCAATACGATTGTCAGAAATCAAAATGAAGATGGATATACTGGTAACGTAGAAGAAACTATAGTACTTAAATAGAAAAGCAAGCATTATTCTAAGACAACTACGTGGATTGGTTCCTTCTCTAACCTCATTATATGCCTAGAAACAGAGTAGATTATTTGAGTACATACTCAAAAAAAAAGTCTAGAAATAATTTTCTAGAATGTAGTGTATTACAACCAACACGAACACTTTACGTAAATGTTAATACTTGACTGCTAAATCATGGTGACTGTTGAATTATATTTAGTGTTTCAAATTTAGTTTCATGGCAACACAACTTTTCAATTGTCTAATAAATTACTCATTAATTGTATTCATGGTATTGACCATCTTTTGGTATAAAACTATTGATACTGTTATCGATGGTGCAAACATAATGGAGGAACAATCGAAGATTGTGCACAACAATGTGGTTGCGGTTCCGATAGTTCTGGATTAGATGATATCATGAATGTAGCAAAAAAGCTGATCGGTTGCATCATGTCGTAAATAATAATGACTAAAATTGAATCAAAGATTACTCATCCCTATTAGTACTTTCCTTGACGCCTCCCAAGATTGACTAATCCTTTTGTTCTCATTGTTCAATGATTTATTTTTACCGTATGCCTGTCTGTGAATCATGTATTGTGTCCTTTCTGTTTTTTTATTTAATCTTGAAATGATCCGGCTTTCAGTAAAACTCATCTATGAAACTTGTTTGATGCTAATAAAAACATACACATACATACATAAATTGTCACAGATTAAAAAAATTGCTCCTAGAAAATTATTTGCACTACGGTGCTAGTATTCTTTTCAAGAGATGTTCTCCAACATCCACACATTGAAATTTCATACGAAATATAGTCTTACTTATTATCCTTAGTGTGTGTTATCTGCACATGTAGATCTTCAGAGCAACAGAACACTCAAACATCACAATGACATTATTATCTCTCAGTAACAATAATCTCTTAAGAGTGAAGAGTGAGAGATGATAGCAAAGATGTAACATAAAAAGCCAAAAGCCTCTCAATCAAGTGCACTGTATTTCGATATCAATCAATATTTTTCGGAATATTTATTTAAAAAAGTTAAATTTACAGAAATTGTTCTGCTTCCATAATCTAAAAACGAATGATTAAGTCATTCTATGATAAGGTGAGAGACAAGTCATGTAATAATAGAGAATGCAAAAGCGAAGCATAGGTCTGGCGAAGGAGTCTGCACTAATTGAAAGTTGTGCATTGCTAAGTGTGTCAGTGTTCATGACAAACTTAAAAATTTGAAAAGTAGGCATGTACTCTCGCGCAATAAAACCTTTGTGAATGTATGGAGACCTATTCTTGAATAAAGAGGAAAGAATGATTAACCACTGTTTCAGTATTAGAAAATTGTCAAAATCGTAATGGTTAGTTAGCAATCGGTAACAATTGTGAGTATAGTGTATAAATCATGCACAAATACAAAAGCCATCGATTAATCACTATTAGTCATCGGTTTTCTCGACTTCTTCAATAGAATCATCATTTTTTGAACTGTGAAAATGAAAAGATCTGTTTTCAGGAAAAATCAATTTGTAAAAGATCGTGGACGGCCTTACTAGTAATGCAGAATCAAAAGATATTATGAAATTTTATAGAAACCACTATTTCCATTTCAAATCAAAGAATATTATTGGTGATATCCCACTAAAATTCACTCGAGTTACTTTTCAAGTTGCCTTTGTTGCATAATTTCGTTTCTCAAGCTACATCAACGAAAGATTTCGTTGGCATTCTATTGAGAAACGATTTTTGTTCGGACGTAAAACATTGTGAAATGAATAAGGACGTTGTAGGTGTGAGTATGGTTGTGCCTGTAGTGTGTGCATGTGGGTGTTGGCATTGGTCTGCGTGTGGTGGATATAGCGAGGCTGTATGTATAGTTGAACATGCGTATTTTGTCATTCATACCTATACCACTACTGGCACTCACTGCCACACGAACATGCACGCCAACATCCACCGCCATATTCCACGCTCAGATCCACGTCAATGCCCACTCACACTTACACCCTACGCATACATACGCAAAACTTTGAGGAACAACAATCTATATTTAGAATTCAATTTAGTTCTTGTGATGTTGAAAAAGGTGGATCACAATATTTTATGCGTTTTGTAGTCTTTTTGCAGTGGTCAAACTTGTTGGACCTGTATCTTCTGAACAGAATTGTGGAAGACTCTCATTTTATTACTGTAAGCACAACTCATCAAACCCTACAAGATGTGGTATTAGCGGTTGATTTGTAGAGCTCTTTGTATTTTGTGACTGAGAAACCATGGAGCAGCCCAGTACTTTACTCCACATGTACTATTTTCTGCATCGATCAAGTCAAATCAATCGATGGTCAGACTGGTCGACTAGAGTAAGTTAATCCTATTCTGACCGCCGACAATGATAACGATTTGAAGAACATCGCGGCATGCATGCACAGAGAAAGAGTTGGGCACAGCACACTGTGCTTGATTAAGCAAATTAATTATTAAAGCGAATGAGCCTGAAAAAGTTGAGCAATTATACCAGTTGCTACTCATAAAGGCATCCAACAAAGACAATAGACTACATTCCAAGATGGACAAGAGCTAGAAAGCATTTTCATTTTGCGAAAAACCACGCGTCATTGACGAAACATTCTTCTTCTGACTCATCTATCATTAGCCATCTTATACAACAACATCTGCTTGATGTATAATAATACGAATCAGTGTTCGAAAGCACTCTCAGTGCACAAAATAGCACGACATAGCCGATAAATAGCCTTTCCTTTCAGTCATCCTCACTTGACTGGTTTTTACTTCTGCATTGGTTCTATGCACTATCACATGGATGACCATTCGAATACATTTTACTATTTCGAGAGAGCATTTAGTATCTTCCAGAAAGCATCGCCACCAGCACATCCTTACATAACGACTTGTAAATGTTGAATTAAAGACGCGATAAAAACCTGTAATTTCACTGCGATTTTGCGACTCTTGTTTCTTTCACTCTGTCAGTGTTGTGTTTAGGTTTTCTGTTTGTTGAAGAGAAGTATATTCCCTTCCAAGAATCCCTAGATTTCACATCGCGGGTTTGTTACTTTTTTATTTACGTGCACAGATAGGTGCACATATGTGTGGATAGATGGGTTTGGACATAGAGTTTCTCTTCATCTATGCATCCATCCAAATCCTTACCCACATTCATGTATCCCATCTCGAAATCTAAAGAAAGAAGATCTGGGCAACTAAACCATTCAAGCTTTTTGATTTATTACTAACACTCATCGAATGAATATCATTCTAATCTCAAAGAGATTGAGCACTTGTACAAGCTCTCTCGTCAGATTAGTGAGTACAGTGAATAGCTGAATGGTAGAGTCTATTGTTGATTTATTCGTGCCATAGTATCTTAATATTATTCAAGAATTCTTCGAATGACATTTGTCCATCGTGATCATCATCAAACATTTGAATAATTTGGTTAAAACATAATCCTGATATGTGTTGACCAGCTAAAGTAAGACCTTGACGTGCTTCCTGCGACGATATAAAACCATCCTTATTGGTATCAATCTCATCGAATGCCTGTTTGAATTCAATAGTAAATAGAGAGTTCTTGAGTGTATATGTATCCGCTTGCATAAACTTCTTGAATTGTTCAAATGTAATCCGTCCTGTATGATTACTTAATTCGGTGATATAGACATCGATTGTTGTAGTACGAAAAGCTTCAAGACGATAATCACCCAAAATGGCTTGTCGAAAGTCGGCCGCACTTATTTTACCCGTATTATCTAGGTAGATATGTAATAAATATTTCATTTCACTAATTCAAACCAAGGATAAAAGCAAACTTTTTTCTTTTTCTTCGAACAAACAAAAAAGAAAGTCCTGTTTCATTATATAAGAGAATACGGTTTCTATTTATGTGAAAAATACGCTTCTGAGAAAGAAAGTAATGTAAAATAGAACAAACCTTTGTCAATCTTATCAAATTTTTTCTGGAGATACTCGTCTTTGGTAGTCTGTGGCATGGCCATCGAGTTTTGTTTTTCTCTGAATATAACTGGCACGTAAACTTGAATAAAGATTAAAACGCCGTCTATTTCGTTGAATCCACAAACGCAAAATGAGAAAAGGAAGAGAACCAAAAAAACTACGATTTTATGATAATCATCGTTGTATACAGTGGAACTTGCCGATTTTTATCGATTTTGCCTGAATGACTACACAGAAACGTAAGAGAAAAAACAACAATCAAGCGAGCGTACGATAGGCAACCAGAGCATCTGCATCATTTTACATTGGTCGAAGCCATTAAGTAATTTTATGCAACAATGTTATGCACGATCACAGAATTTAACGCTCTGTGATTTGACTACTCTATCTCGAACATATTTCCAGACAGTCCACTTTTAGCTTGAGTCAAGAAAATTTTGGTTTGAGATGGACTATTTTTGAAGAATTTTCACACAAATAAACCAGCATCTGATACTTCAGTTCTATTGCGAGAGATATCTGATCTGTTTGAAAGCTGCTTCTGAACACAGGCGTCTTGATGTCAACAGTGAACTATTCAGCATTTTAAAATACTGAATAACAAAGAATGATTATTTCTATCATGAGCAATGGGAAGTTTGCATTATTTTGTAGTTGTAATGTATGATTCATCTTCGTACAGAGCAAGAAAAAATACTTGTGTGACCTTGAAGAAAGGCGAGTAAAGACACATGCTGCGAAACCCACACAGAAAGCACCCGTCAAATTGATTCACACTTGTTTCATCGTGTCACAAGAATAGGCAACACTCACTATTTACGTTCTATATAAAAGCTAGGCAATATCGCTGTTTTTCTTCGTTCTGTGGGACAAACAAATGGTAACAACCTTGAACGGCTTGCTTGGTGAACATTTGCTCCAATATGACGAGCCAAACCAACTGTCAATCAAACAACTGGAGGGTGTGGGTGTGTGCTTCATGCTGAATATTAATACTTAGTCCTTGCTTGTTATGGTTGTTTTAATTCTGAATTAGATTGGCAGCAACCATACATATTTCTATCAAAAGCCACGAGTTGATCTGCGTCAAATGTAGATTAATTTAATTTACTCTCCGTCTCTTTCGGTGTCCTCAGCACTGTACTCATATTCATGTTATTATTCATTTTGTGTGAGTATGTTCAAAGACCTAGCTGAAAATTTTATCATCTTACTCAATCAAGCTTTTACCATTTTTGTAAAACTTCTACACTCGAGTTCAAACGAAACAAAAGATGTTAACCTTGGTAATGTAGTGCGACCAACCGCAATTTTTTCAAAAATTTCACTCATTGAACAATCATGACTATTTCTTCATCCACATATATTATCGTCTATAAACGACGATTTGACAGTGATATTTATTCATTAAACCGATTACACAAAAATCTCTCAACGTATATACAAGAAAACAGCTTGCTTCATTACTAAAACCCCATTTTAAATATTGGTCGAACTTTTTTCTTTCTTTTGTGTCATTCTGCAAAATGTCGCAATTCTCACCTGGATTGTGTCAAACAAAGACATTTAGACATCGATAAAAAAGCAACTGATCAAATATCAACTTACTTTTCAACTGATTTACATTTAATATACTGATTCAACGTTCACTAAATTAATTCTAATTCTATCATAGAAAAGCCAATTAACATAATAAATAACTTCAAGCAATCATTTCCAGGATATAGCTCGAAAGAACGAATTTAAACATGTTCGTCAATCAAGTTTTTTTTCTCTCTCTCGGTGTAACCATGATAGATTTTTGGCCATGCCGTTCTGACAGCATGACAGTTCATGATAAATATGGCTAAGGTTTTCATTTAAGACTCAATTGGCTCTGTCATGTTTCACATTTCAATCCCGTAGAGATCGTATTAAAAGCTTTTTCTTATAGCAACCCTGATCGATGCTCATTTGGCAATTTAAGATACATACATGATTCCATATGCATCGTGTATTGTCATGTGGATATTCTTTTATAGTCATTTACGTCAATCGTAATTGTCTGTATGAGACAGCCGTTTTTATACTTCATTTCTGTTTTTTGTAGATTAAGTTATCAGTGAAATGGCGTAAGAAAGTAAAACATCGGTTGACACACGCCTTCAATAAATGACGCACATCGTGTGTGGTCCTTGCAAGTTACTACGTTCGAGAATGATATACGTCATATAATCAAACAATACAACAATGCATTCCCGAGAGAAGTGCCTAAAGTGTCTAAGTTCCTTTTCACGCATTCATTCCTTATTCGTCAGAGTATATCGAGATAAAAAAAGTCTTAAAATAGTTCGAGCCCATAGTCTATGGATGAAGAGTTCCGTCCATTGTACTGAATTTTTGACCTATTGTCAGAGTTTTCAAAAAATGTCAAGATTCACGAAAAGCTCAAAGTAAGAAAACTTACACGTGAGTGGATATTGCATTGATTGAGTAGACCTTTTTCTTGCTTCTACAACATTATTCATCTGTCGGTTCATCATGCTGTGTTGCTCACATGCGCTAGACATTGATATGTCTAAGTCTTGTGTGATTCGAAGTCGAAACAGATCATCAAAGAATGCTGCACCAACCCGTAGAGCAGCAACATATGATTGAAGAAAACTAGTTAAAGCAATATTTCTGCAGAAATATTTTCTTTGCGCATAAGCCTCATTGACTGAATTATTTACTATTGTTTTATTATTTTGCACGGAAATAAAAAGCAGGCGCACAATGTGTCAGAGCGTATTTTACTAATCCCAAGAAACATATGTTCTTAATTTCAAAGATTCAGAAACGATCACTTTTTTGTGGAATGTTTCTTTTTCATGGTTCAATAGTATCAATACATTTGAAAGGATTTGTTTTGAGTCAAATGTTTGCGTTATCTTAGAACTCTTCAAGAGTTAAACCTTCGGTGATGCAATGCGATGATTCATCTTCATATGCGTCATTTTTCGAGCAAAAAGAAAATCTTTCTTTCTTTCCAGCTGACGCAACTAAAATATGAGTCAACTTCCTCATATAAATAAATAGCAAAAGACTGATAAGAACATGAATCTTGGAGAACTCAATTTACAAATACGAGGATAAACATTATTTTTATTTATTTTTTCAGGTAGGATTTTTCTCCTACGATGCTCATAAGATTGGTAAAAAGGTAGTTTTTTTTATCAAACAATCATTCAACTTGTCTTCAATTGTTCGATCTACAGATGTGTTTTTTCTGACTGTCGGGAACAAAATTAGAACTTTTTTACAAACAGAAGTCAAGCGAAAGCAAAAATTTATAAAGAGAGCAGACATCGGTTTTGATTGAGAGAGAGATGTTTATAGAGGATACGGAATCACTTGCAAGGGAACACTAGAATCCTCATAGCTACGTCACTACCGTGTCAGGTATATATTGATAGATTAATAACTAAGGGCAGCTAAGTTTACGACACGTATTTCATCTGTTTATTATAGATGTATCAACTACTTTTTATAGGATTGGTAATTAGATGTTAAAGGGAAACATCCACGATAGATGTATAAAGGATAAAACACTTTTTGAGAGACGACGAGTAGCAAAGGAAAATACCTATATAAGGAAGAATACATATGACCAGATGATAGAAAGGAAAAATATATATGATGGGAAAATACGAGGGAAAATATATAAAGTGATGGAACAGAGAGGAAAAGAAAACAAAAATATAAGTGACAACAGATGCAATGAATATATGATTCTAAAACTTCTTAACAACCAGCTACTCTCAAAAGCCAAAAATACATGATCGAGCTTTTCGTATTGCAGCTGATAGTGAAGAAAAATACCATAAGTATAAATGTCAGTTTGAATCTTTTATCTTCCTTTCTAACTCGAAAGCATTAGTCATTTATTGCTAGTCGTCAAATAGTGAAAAGATTTAATTCCTGACAATATTAATAGACCAACGATGATTTACAGTCTGTAGATGACACTACAGAACAGCCAGATGTCTCGCATAGTTGTCAATTAGTTATTTATGTACTTCTGTGTAGCAACTAGTGTTCTTTATATTACAGTACTGGAATATGGGACAATTATTAAAATTGGAATATATATTCAGTAATAACGTTTTGAATAACGCAGTAATCAACATATCCCATCGTTTCTCTATATCAATTTTCTCCACTGTTATTTGTAATTAGTCACTGGGAAATTTCCCAATCTGCATACAATTCTCGTTGTCAAGTAGATTTATATATACTATCGATATTAGGATGAGCAATTTTTTTCTGATAGGAACAAGCGAAAGAAGCAGCTCAGTGAAATCATTTCAACACATCAAAAGTAAATCATTGTTTAAAGTGCTATCAATGCTATCGAGAAGAAAAGACACTGATTTGTCAAAATGTATCGATGAAAAAAAACGAAGTTCTGCTTGGAAAAATGAAGTCTATCGTCGTGTAGTTAATGTTTGTAAACAGTTGAAGAAGCAAGGTGTTCATTCATCCATTCTTATCAGTGCGGCTGGTTTCACATACACCGGCATTGATGATACTGCTCGTTGTCTTACATGTGGTCTAGAGGTATCCGAATGGGAAGCATACATGAATCCATTTACTGTTCATATCCAACAAAGTCCGAACTGTTCATTCGTTCAATCGATTGTATCAAAAAATCGAATGAACTTTTCTTCTTCAGATGGTTCAATAATAGAGGACCAAAACTTTGAATTATCACATAATCATGAAAATTTATCAAAACATAAAGAAATTGATCGAAAGATCGACTATTGTCTGATAGAAGTAGAGATGATAAAAGAAGTTCGTTGTCGAACATTTTCACATTGGCCTTATCAGAATGTACTATCTCGAACACAAATGATTTCGTCTGGATTTTTTTATTGTAATGTTGGTGATCGTGTCATTTGTTTGTATTGTAATTTAATTTGTCAACAATGGACACCACATACTGATAATCCAGAAGAAGTCCATCAAACTCTTTCACCTCTATGTCCATATGTTTTATTTCTTTTAAAAACTCGTCAGACATCAAGTGCATCAATTCTTAACGATAGCTCGAATAATCAAGCAGTCATATGTAATCTATTGCGATTTAATGAAATAGTTCAAGCATCAGCATTTCATAGGGCCTATGTTGAAATTTCGAGGCGTCAAGCATCATTTAATTCTTGGCCTCAAGAAGAATTACCTTCTGTAGATGATCTTGTCCGAGCAGGATTTTTTTATACTGGCTCAAAGACAATTGTTATCTGTTTTTATTGTAATGGATCACTTCAAAACTGGGGTCCAAAAGATAATCCATTGATTGAACATGTACGTTGGTTTCCACTTTGTGCCTATGCTAAACAATTATGTGATGATGAACTTTATCGAAAAGTTCAAGAATCAAAACGAATTCATCAAGGTTTATTTGTTTTTCTATTCAAGAAATGATGCAAGTTAAAATAAAAATGTATTGATGTATTTTGTAGAACGCATTGGAACAAATCAAATAGGGAGAAATGGAGATTTTTCAAACGATCATCCAACAAACAATTCTCAACTAGTAATTTCTGATGAGAACACATTGTCACGATTGGTTACTGCTCGACTCGATTTGCCTATTTCACAAAATCTACTCAATCGAAATTTCAAATTATCAGTTATCAAACGATGTTGGGAGGATCAGCTAAGATTAAAACGTTCGTAAATTCAATTAAATTTACATTCTTCTATTTTTTTTTTGTTTAGAAAATGATTTTGCTACTGATTCTGATTTATTAATTGCTTGTATTATTCTTCAAAAACAAATTGATCATATCAATGGTCGTAAAGAAAACATTATTATACCGAGTATCAAGATGAAAATGATTCGTAAGAAAGAACAATCTGGTATGTTGTCCGTTATTTATATGATCATATAATTACTCATTTGTAAATAAATAGGTTCATCATTGTCCATGCTATCATTGAACGAATCATTTTCATCAAACTCATCGAATATCAATAATATAATTGAATCAAAATCAACAATTGCAACGACCGACAATCAATCAAAAACAGAAACAAAAACTAGTTCGACCACGGATATAGCGTCGTCGAATTTGTGTATACTTTGTTTGACAGAGGATAAACGTCTTGCATGTATGCCATGTGGACATTTGGCAACTTGTGTTCCATGTGGTCATTCACTTCGAACATGTCCAGTTTGTCGAAGAGAAATAGAGGCTTTTGTACGCATCTACATTTGAAGTTGACATTCAATAGAATGTCACGAAAAACTGTTCTGTATTTCACATCAATTAATCTAGAATTCTCTTTATTTATATATCAGTTTTTGCTTGAATGAAATCAATAATTTATTCAAGAAAAAATTTGAACGAATTTGAGCTCTGTTCATTTTGAATCTTTGATGCCACAATCGAAAGTACTTGTTTGTGTTGTTTCTCATCATGTGCTTCAAATCAAGTTTCATGGTAGATGCTACGCTTGACACTCGACTGTTGCATCTTCGTTCCTTTTCAACGTCCACTATGCGATTGTTCAAGCTCAATTCTATTTTGGGCGCATTTCAAATTCCGAAAATAATTCATTTTGTCCGGCCGATAAATAATTCGTCGCTTTGAATGTGAGTATGTGGGTATCGCTAATAAGAATGCCCACATCCACAGTCCACACCCACATCCACACCGACACCCAAAGCCACACCCATCCACATACACAGCCACGTCCACACCCAAAGCAACGTTTACCGTAAGCAATAACTTCAAACACATTGTGATGATGAAAAGGACGTATGGACAGGATACTCGGAGTTTCTTTTTGTTCAAAATTATTCTGATTTTTATTTATCTTAAACGTGTCAGCGGGTCATTCGGCTTGTTTCCTACAGCTTAGTTTTGCGCCTCTGTGTGATGCTCTCCTTGATTCGAATTTTTTTTTCTCGATTGAACAATCAGCAAGTCATCGAAATGTTTGATGCAATCGAAAATATTTCATCAATAGGCATAAATCATCTTTTTTGTTTGGCTTTTTACTAGCACAAAATGATCTAATGTGAGCAAACCATATATATAGTTCGATATACTTTTCCGTGTTCTATCTGAGAATTATCTCCAAATTGAGAGAAAAAAATGTACCAAAACCTTGAGATGGCGAAATATTCTTCGAAAATGTGGAAAAAACTGCCAAAGAATATCTTCCATGAATTTACGTTTTTGCCCACAGGATTTTCGATTTTTTCCGGTTGAACACCTTTCAGAGATTTAATACAAGTTTTGCTGACCATGTGGCTTCGGTTTCTTTTGATATGATATTTTTAGCCCATTGGTACCATTAGAACTGCGCAAAAAAAAGAATTATTTCTACTCGTATTTGTCTAAAATCACATGTACTAGACATAATTTTTCATGTTGATCAAAAATATTGTGTTAAAAATTGAAAAAAAACTAAACTATAATGATGAAAAATGTATATTACTCTGATACATAGATTGGATGGGTAATCATCAACATACCATTCTTTTCTTTCAAATGAAAACATTTGAAAAATATGAAATTTATTTTCGACACACTACTGAAAATGCTAACACATCTTCAGTATTTCATCATTGTAATGTCTTTTCACCAGAGCTCGTCGAATTGATCCCAGATTCGATCGGGTCCTGGTCTGAAAATTTTCTGTTAATGGGATTCGAAAACATTGAGTCTCGACGGGCTCTATTGTTCACACCAAACCATTTTGTTGGAGTAAAAAGCTATACAAAAAGATGAATCATGCCTGTTGCTGAAATATGTTCAATAGTATGAACCATATCGGAGGTTTGTTGATTGCTTTTAGGTTTGAACCGATTTAGAACGAGTAGAGCAGTCAATCGAAAAAAATTTTCACGAATCGAGGAGAGTACCAAACAGTAGCTAAACGCTTCATTTTGAAATGATGGAAAACTAAGTGTAAAATTTTACAATCAATATGTGATGATGTTTTAATAATAGGAATTTTATTAGATTCAAATTTTGCTCTTGTCTATATATATAAAGAAGAAAGTTTGTTTGTCTGTTCTTCATGCATTTGGACACGTTACTAGCAAATGCAACCAAACTTTTCAGGGACTATCCTCTCATTCTGGAAGAGGTCACCGACTACTTTTTGTCGAAAAAACACCGGTCCTCTGCCTGCAACAAGCCCACATATGTATCTGACCAATGAGATTGCAACATTCGGTAGTATCGGAGAACTACCAAGCAGCACGTTGTGGACAAGTACAAGGCAGGTATCTACAGGTTTTCGAGGATGCTGAGTAGGGACCTGCGGAGTCAGGTTTTTTTATTCCGAAACCCGACTCCGACTCCGAAAAATTTCTTCTTTACAACTCTGACTCCGACTCCGACTCCGGAAATTTTTATTTTTTGACTCCGATTCCAACTCCGAAAAACTCCGAGAAACTCCGAATTTTTTTTATCAATAAAAGGAAATCTCAAATATGTTTTATTGTTTAATTTACAACATGCGGAAATCAATAATAAGGTTGCTACATTACTACCATGAAGTCTCTCTAAAGTGAGCACGATCGAGACTATTGAAAAATGTTCCTTATAATCAGATGTTCGCCTTCGGAAGGTCCATTTTCAGCAAAAATTGCCTTTCCGGACTCGTGAAAAACACTAATAATAACGAGGTTTTCACTGTAGAGAGGCGCTCACTACTAGAGGTTTTACTGTATTATTTTTTTATACTATTACTGGGTAACTGGTAATAATTTTATATACTTTATTGCTAGTAATAAACTAATCACAATATTGCTTCTATGAGTTACTAGTTTTAATACTATACTACTTTATAACATTTTTACTTTCTTCCCTCTGTTACTTTCGCAGATTATTTCTAATTACATATAATAATTAATAACCTTATATGCTATTACTTACTACCTGTAATAGTAATGTAGTCCTGAACGATAAAGGAACAAACGAGTGAAGGAATATCTAAGAATCTTTAATAGATTAATTTGAAATTTCTTGTACATTTGTGGTTCAGTGGAAATAAAAAACAATCACTGACAAGTTTTCGATATGTAATATGTTCAAGGAATCAAAAATTGGTGATCAAGAGAATTGTAGTACTTCTAATGAAATTGCAATATATTTTCATTGATGACATTATGCTTTTACGTAGCCAGTCTTTTGAACGATACAGCCAAAAGATTATCAATGTGAGGTTTTTCCTTGAAACTCGTTCTTAATATATGTAGCAACTATTATCTTTCTTTTTTTTGTTTGTTAAGCTGAAGAATAAAGATGCTCTTATTTGAAACAGCAAAAGTTATTCAAACATGGTCAGGACTTTGACTCCGAAAATTTTTTTCAGAAAACCCGACTCCGACTCCGACTCCGTAAAATTTCTTTTTGCTGACTCCGGCTCCGACTCCGACTCCGACGGAGTCGGAGTTGAAATCGGGTTTCGGAGTACTCCGCAGGTCTCTAATGCTGAGCTTGGATCTGGGGTCCATTCACTTCGAAATCTGATTGGTTGATCGATTACCAATAGGAATTCAGCTGCAAAGAAAACAGACAAAAACATCTACAGTTTCGGGAAAACAATGAGATAGGAGTTTTTAGAGACGGTAAGTTCGAATCTGGGGTCCATTCACCTCGAAATCTTATTGGTTGGCCGGAAACCAATAGGAATTCAGCTGCTAAGAGACCAGCTAATCAAAATTGCGTTTTTGCAAAAAAAGAGTCAGGTAGAGGTTTTTAGAGGCGGTTAGTACGAATCTGGGATCCATTCGCCTCGAAATCTTATTGGTTGACCCAAAACCAATAGGAATAGAGTTTGTCGGAAAACGAATATCACTGGATAATCGAAGGTAGGACATTAGGAATCTGAAGTCTATTAAGCTCGATATCATTCTTTTAATCAAGTTTTCAATGAAAATGTTTCAAAACGATGACATCTTTTACAAAGAAGCTTTTTTAACTCCAAACTAATGTAGAAATGATTCAAAGCTTCCATCAAAAGGATTTATCAGAATGATTTTCAAAGCGATTTAGAAGGTGTTAGCCGGTGCTGATAACAGAGATCGCTTTGTTTGAAACACGGTGACTATATACAGGTATGAACTTGGAAAAAAAACAAGAATACATTGAAAAGGAAAATGAACAATAGGGGAAAATACCGAAACAATCTCAATAAAATACAGGAGTTGGCAAATTCCTGAATGATAGTAGGACATGGATATCGTGCATGTTATCTCCGTGTTATGGTACATATTAAAAATGTACCATAAGAAGAAAGAATGTACATATGAATGCTTCTCTTGACTCATAGTGATGACGTATTAGTTATATGCATATATGTCTTCTTTCTATTCTTTCCTTTTTGTCTAAGGTATTTTCGTAGTTTCTTTGGTTTTTTCTATTATTAGTATTTCGAGACTATTCATGGAAAGTTTCCATTTACGAATCTTGGATATAAATAGCTGATGTGTTTCTGTATGTTTATGTGATTTGTTAATCAACGAATAAAATGATTCGATATTCAAGAACGAGAACGAGTGATAATATTACGTAAAATAGGAGAATAGAAGAAAAAAAATGCAGGGAGAGGGCACCAATACTATAACACAATGTCATTTACCTTTGAATTCTGTTTAGTCTATTTTAAGTTAAAGAAGCCCTCAAAACAAAATAAAAATAGGTTGGAAAGGGATCCCAGCGCATTCTATAACACTCAAGATCAGTAACTCATACAAAATTAGAAGGCTACCATTATCCGATATGTCAAATATGAAATATTTAATTTACCAGGCAACGTCGGGTACTTCTGTTAGTTTTCTATATTTTCAAGTGTTGACTGTAACTACTGGTCGATTATGATATGCTTCCAATGTCTTTTTTCTTATTTGTTTTCTTGGAACTAATTTGACTTGGTATTTTTCCTGTTGACTTTTTAATTCCTTTTTTCCATGTTCATAGTTTCTTTGTGCTTTTATTACTTTTTGTTTTTTTTTCGAACATAGTTTTCTTTTCCTTATCTGACAACGACATAACATTTCTCAGAATCATTGAACTCGTGAGTTTTTTTTTTATTTAAGAAAGAAAAATAGATATACTAATATTAATACAGTAGTCAACAAAAAATAAACATTTTACAATGTTAAATTTCGATGAGCTACAACAAATGTAACATGTTTATTATCTTGACATATACGTCGAATTAATTCAATACCCTTTAAATGTGTTACCCATTGTAAATTAGCACTAGTATAATTAGTTTTAATCTCTAAAAGACGATCACCAATACGAAATTGATTATTCTTTGTAAGTGTTGCTAATAAACCATTTGGATCAATATGAGAAATGAATAAACCAGAATCTTCAGTATTTCTATCTAATCCACCAGTTATAGTAATACCAAGTCGTTGATTTAATGCATCTGATGGCATGATTATATCAATATGTTCAATATCTATAGGATTTAAACGTCGAATATGAAGTGAAATAGGTTGACCTTGAGCTAAAGAAAATGCTTGAACAGCTTCATCATGAGTTACATTACTTAAATTGATATCATTAATCGAAAGAATACGATCAAAAAGACGAAGATTAGTTCGTCCATTATCGAATGATAATTTCGAACAATAATCAATATATGTTATAACAATTGATGGACCATGTTCAGTATCAATACCACCACTAATCGTAAAACCATATCTATTTAAATTATTATTTAAAGGTTTAACTTCGATAAATTCATCCTTCCAATCATTTTCAATAGATTGATCTTGTTGTCTTTCAATTGATGAATAAGGTGGTGGTAATTCTTTAACATGTAACAGTTGTGTACCATCCGAAAATTCATTACGATTGAGTATATGAAGATAAGTACCTATATGCTGTGTCATATCGTTAAATTGATGCATATATTTTAGCAAAAGAACAAAAAGAATGAATTAGAGTAAAAGATAAGACAATTTTATGTTAATAAATATTTGTTAAAGCTTATCAAATTTATCCAACCGATAGTGAATCATTTGAATGGCGCAGTCATCGGCTAATAACAACATTTCAACAATAAAGCATGTCTTTTTTTTCTTCTTTCGTTCTTTTGTCCTTCTTTCATTCAAATCCTATTTTATATTTCGATACTATTAGAAATAAGTTTGTATCAACTCTGATCTATTTTGCAAGAATAAAATAATCCTAATATTTAATACAATTGAATTAATTATGAGACTTCATAAGATCAAAATCTAATATGAATACTAAAACATTCAATCGATTATGTCTTTTTCTTTTAAAATACGAAAATAATATTTGTTACTTCAAATGAATATTTAAATATTCATTCAAATACGACAAAGAAGAATTTTCTTCTTATCAAAATTTTATTAGATAAAAAGACAAACACTAATTGAATTTAACTTTAATTTTATGTTTGATGAGCAACTACAAGTGTGATAGATGTTGACTCTTTTCTCATACGTTTAATTAATTTTGAAGCAACTTCAAATTCAATATATTGTAGATTAACAGTAATATATGTATTACGTATTTCTATTAAACGATCACCTATTCGTAGACGTCCATTATTTGCTGCTGGACTTTTTGGTTTAATATCAATAACAAATAAACCTGGATCATTATTATGATTATTATTATTATTATCAATTCCACCATTAATCGTAAAGCCAAGTTTACGTGATTTTATAAAGTTATGTTTCCGTAAATTAAGTTCAATAGTTTCAAGAATCGGTGGTTGTAAACGACGAATACGCATTTTAACTATTTGACCTTGATGCGCCTTGATAATACGTTGAGCTATTTTTTTTGTCATATTTATAAAATTTATGTCATTAAATGAAAGAATAATATCAAATGGATGAAATATTTTATTATTATTTAGAATATTTGTAACAATAATTGAATGATTTAATTCATTGACACGAATTAATGAACATATTTTATTATGAATTTTTGTATTCATTAAAATATCAATATCAAATTCAATCCAATGATGATCATGAATAATATTTCTCATAGATTTTTCATTTTTTTCGAATAATATTGATGAATTTCTAATATCTTCTATTTGCATTAATTGTTGACGAAATAAATGCCAAGGATTGGTTGTCGTTATCATATCACTTTTCTTTTGCTTTATTAAATAACTTACAACTGAACTTCTCAAATAGATATCTTTCAAGAGTAAATATTCTTTATCTTGTATATGTAACTATAAGTATTGATATATAAATCATATTCCAATGATTTCCTATCTTTTTATTTCCAACTTTTCATCTTCATCACCACGAGCGCGTTTACGAACAAAAAAAAAGACAAAAAAAACTGAAGAAGACTCAATCTTCTCTCTCTCGTGTTCTCTCATCTCATATTCATAATTGATGACTTCTTTTCGAATCTTTTATATATAAACATCGATATATATCACTAGTAAACGTTAACTAGAAAATAGTAATAAAGTAATAAAATGACAAGAAGAAAAACATAAGAACAAAGCATAAAACTTCTGTACATTATTCCCCTCATCTCTTGTCTGTTAAACACACACACACACACACACACAAACATGTGTCTAATGCTAAGTTGTTTAGATATATTAAAAAAAAATAATAATGTATAACAAATAGTGAAGAAAAAAAAACACGCTCGAATTAAGATATGAGATAGATAGATAGAGAGAGAGAGATGATTAAACCATCTCTTTTGATGTGTATGTAGAATAGTAAACAAAAGAGAAAAAAAAACATGAAAATGACACGTCACAACAAGATGAATGCAAGCATATACTGTAATAGAAAAAGACAAAAGAAAGTAGTGACTAGAGATGAGGAAAAAAAACAAACGGAAGCTCGAGCAATATTCACGGATACATAATATCTTCAATTTTCTTCAATAATTCTTTTGTATAATCAATAGCTTGTTCAGCTTGAGCTAGAAGAAAAAATGATAAAATTAATTAATTAAAAAACAAAAACAAAATATATAAAACTTACAAACGGTGAATACTTCAGCTGGAATTTTTGCAAATCGTGCTGCATTAGGATATTGCATACGATTTGGATCACCAATCCATTTATATAATTTATAACCTATTTCTCGTACATCATTATCAATACCAATTAATAAACCTGGTATATCAGCTGTCATATTTTTGCCAGTATCCTTATAATAATGATAAGCTTTTAAGGCTTTTTCAGCTGCCTAAAGTCATGATGAAAAAAAAATCTTGTTAATGATTATAATGAAAAACGTTACAGACGATGGTCAACAAATGATGCATAACTAACAAGAGAATATCCATCAACGATCAAATCTCTTTTGAATTGACACGGGAACATTCCCAGGTGCAGGAGCGCTTCTGAGTCGGGACTTTGTGCATCTTATAGTCTTTGGTGAGCTGTGTCTATGATAAAAAAAGTTTGTGTTTCTGACTTGTTTCTGGTGAGATATTGAGTTTCTAGTGATCTTTTTCTATATCACCTCACTTTTGCAGCAATGCTTTATCTTTGAATATTGACCTGAAACTTTGTCCTCATAAAGGTCTCAGCTAGACTAGCTTGCATAAAAAATTTCTGAAGTTTTGGACAAAGTCTCTCCAGGATACGAAGATTTGAAAAAATGCATACTATATATACTATCTATGAAAAAGTGTCTGTGCCTTGATCGTTTCATATTCCGGAGAGACTTTGTTCAAAACTTCAGAAATTTTTTATGCAAGCTAGTCTAGCTGAGACCTTTATGTGGACAAAGTTTCAGGTCAATATTCAAAGATAAAGCATTGCTGCAAAAGTGAGGTGATATAGAAAAAAATCACTAAAAATTCAATGTCTCACCAGAAACAAGTCAGAAACACAAACTTTTTTTATCATAGACACAGCTCACTAAAGACTATAAGATGCACAAAGTCCCGACTCAGAAGCGCTCCTGCATCTGGAAATGTTCCCTGATGAGTACATTCTCAAACGATAGATCTCAATGAGTAGTGAAAAACTTTAAAGTAACTCGATTTTCCAGATCTTCTGAGCAGAGATATACGCTTATTACTGTTAATAATGTTGTCATACTAATATTTGTGATATGCCGACCAAACATGTTTTGATTCGGCTCATTTATATCAATAAATGATAATCAAAAAAGAAAAACATATGCTCTTGGCTAAAGATAATCAACATTGATTTTTCTGATATTTTCAACATACATTCCTTTTTTATTTTTAGTTAGCATATGTGTTGAAAGTTCAACTCATTTATCGATGCTTCAATTATTTATTCTGAAGAGATATTGCAAAATACGATTAACATTATTCATTTTTTTTTAAGTGATTAGTTTTCAATAGCAATAGAGAGTCTATATCAGTGTTTTATCCAAATTTTCTCTTCCAAAGGAACGATTTAAAACTTCACGAGGACGAGCACATATGTCTTAAAGCAGGTACACATGGTAAAATAACTACAAACGCCGAAAGAGCCAACCTGATCTTTGGAGAAGTACTGCCGCCTATGTTAAACAAAACACTGGTATTGATTGTAGTAAAATGTAAATCAATATTTGAAATGTTTTATCACTCATTAAGGTTTATCATTTAGTGTCAATCCTCAATTCAAAATCTCAATAAAACTATCAAAAATATTTTTCTTTTGTTATCTATTTTGGTAGATGGATTTCTTTGGAAACTTACTCGATAACATTTATAACAAACCCAATCATATGCGACTTGACCAGTAGATGAATGCATATCACTATATGAACTTTCTAAATCATGTTGAGCTTGTTTAAGCCATCGATCGGCTTCAGATTGTTGATAATTACGTTTGCGACGTGAATTTGGACTTTCTTCTATTATACAAAAAAAAACAAATAAAAAGATAAATAAATCAATATTAATATATTCGAATTTTTTATTAAGATAATAAGCATTCTACGATAAATACTCCCACGTTTACCCAAAAGCAAAGAACACTCACCAAAAATAGGATCCGAGACTAATATGAAAAAAAAAGAAAAGAAAAATAAAAACAACTGTATCTGTGCGTGTGTAGACTACATGCAAAAACAACTACGTATATATATTTATATATATATATATGTATATAAACGAAAAACTTACTTCCTCCAGTTGATGATGATGATGTTTGTGGATGTGTTGTATTATTTGTAGTATTTGTATTATTAGTTGTATTTTCTTCAGTTGGACTAAAAAATCCATGACGTCTTGGAAAACCATGTTGACGACGAAACTGCCATTCTTCACGTGCTGTACGAAATGATGATGAACGATGTGGATTAAAACGTGTTTTATTTGTATCATTTATATCAGTAGGATCTTTTGGTATATCTTGATAACTACGTTTTGTATCATCGTTTGATTCTTTATTTAAATTATCAAAACTACCAAAACGATCATCAGTTGTTGTTGTTGATGAATTATGATGATGATCAGTTTTAGTTGTATTTGAATGTTTATTCCAACTAAATCTTGGATCTGATGCTGAAAATGGTGTATGATGAAAATTATTAAATGTATTAAAAAATGATGTTAACGGATCATTTTCAAAATGATCTATTTGTTTACGTAAATGTTTAAAAACTTCAGCAGCATAACGTTCACGACCGGGATTTTTATCTGGATGCCATTTTAATAATAATTTTTTAACAGTTTTTTTACGTTCTTGTCCAGTTAATTGATATGCTTGTCGTACAGCATTATAGATTTCTGTTTTAGTTAATTCAAGTTCAGTTTTATCAATTTTATCTTGTTCATTTGTTTGAGTTGATTCAGATTCTGATTGTGATTCTGATGCTGTATTACTTGATGAATCACTATCAGCTGATGTTTGACCATATGTTTTAAAATTATTAAAACCATTAGTAGAATGTGAATCATTAGTAAAATCCTCAGGATTGTTCGATTTTTCTGAACGTTTTGAAGAGGAATAAGTTTTTTCACCATTGAATTTATCTTTATCACCATTTTTGCCTATAGACGACACACGCACAGTGAATTAATTTTTTTTTTAATTCGGAATTTTAAAGGAAGGAGAGACCGAATGTCACTAAGTACGAGAAAGATTTTCTTATTAAAAAAAAATCTGTTATTTACATCAGAGATCCATGACGTATATGCGGTTCGTATGCGTTGATCGTTTTCTTTTTGCTCGATGAACACTTTACAAAAGTGTGAAATCGTTTCTTCGATATTTTTCTAAAACATCTCGAAATATGAGATGACACAACATGTGCTTTATAAAGATTTGCGTCATGTTGTATGGTGGATCTCTAATTGGTATTCTTTTTATAAAGTTAAGTCATTTTTGTGGAACACACATTATGTTTTTTTCGAAGAAAAATATAGTGAATGTAAGTTTTAATTCGATATGTTGTGGTCCTCTCCCTCAAAGCAACGAGGAGGAGAGAAGATAAAGGTCAACGGTTTTTGGATATGTTTCCATAACAACCGAAGACAATAGGTGTGCGACTTCTCTTTCGGAGTTTCTTAGCAACGGAAAACAAAAAAAAGCACTAAATAGCTTTTCAGTAACATTCCAAAGCCTTCGTTGAAAAATTTGATCGGCTGAAATATGTTTGTGAATGTTCTTAATAATTCCGTTTTTGATTTTTATCCAAATAAAAATTTATATTCAAGATGTCAAAGGATGATATATAGTCGTGCATTGATTTGCCGCAGTCATCGTATGATCAGCATTGAAAACATGAACTGATCAAGTTATAACTTTGGAAAATAATCAATACCAATATTTCTGAACTTTTCAAAGTATATAATAATGCGTTGAGATATACTGCGGATATGTACAACAGGCTTATTTCCCATTTAAAGCAATGGTTAGGATAATAACAATGTTAAACTAAGAAAAACGGGCGGCGAAAATGGAAAATAACGAGCGCATGGCAACCAGAGATGTCCATGGCGGTGGTAGGGCGGCAGCGGCAAGTTCTTTTTCGAAGGCGTTGCAAAACTTCATGGATTTGCACAGGATTCAGGTGTCCATAAGCGTAACACTCAGAGACTAGATCAATCTCATGAATAGCAACTTTCTATATAGTTCACCGCGTCGTGGCAGCGACGTAGTAGAGTTGAATTTTGGTCGTGGCGCGACAGCG